ATCAATGTTGTTGTTGTTGTTTTTGTCGAAGCGCTTCCATTAATCAAATCTGCCGATATTTCTGTACATTTAATCTCGGCGGCCCTCGTTCTTCTCTCCCAAACTGTCTCGTCATTAGCGTGTCACACGGGCGTCCCGTTGGCAAGGTCACTGTTGCCCCGGCGACGCTTCAGAGAGGCCGATGCAGAGAGTAATGACGAGGCCTATCGGAGCGGCATCAGCTGCATCCGGAGATAAAAACGAAAAAGAAGTTCAGCGAGAGTGAAAAAACAACTTTATCTAGAAGATTACAGCCTGAAAGAGGGTGGGGGGGCAGGCCCATCATTTTGTGTCTCATATTGTGTCTCCTTTTGTGTATCTTTGTGGTGTTGTGCCTTCAAACAGCAGCAACAACAGAATAAGACTTGCACATTAGCATTTAGGAGAATAGGAGAATATATTTCCCTCACTCTGACTCACAGGTGCATCTCTGTAATCTGTCATTCATCATTTATCACACGGATGAAATGACTTACTGTTGACTTTAACTAGCCTTTAAATGAATGATCTCCTCTCCTCTGCCATGTGATGTCTGTTCAATAAGTTTGGGACCACAGTCGCTGAGCAGCAGTCATTTTAGGAGCAGTTTATTCATGTAATGAAACGGACGTATCCGTGGTAACGTCCGGAGAAGACACGTTTCCTGTCTCTGCTGCTTTGATGATGTAACATGTCTATTAGCTACTCTTCTTTGGACATCGGCGACCCGTGAGCTCAATGAGTGTATTTCCATCCATCCATACGTGGGTGTTCAATATGGGCATCAGGAAGTGGAAATGTTGGATATGAAATAAAAAGGTTCAATTAGAAAGTTTTAATACAAAATTATTACAACTATTATTAAATATTAAATTGAATTGACTATCAACTTCTTACTAGGATATAGTAGGATATTCAGAAAAAAAAACAAGTGAAAAATAAGAAAATGGCGGGGGAATTTTTTTTTCCCTAATTATGCAGTCCATTAATAATGTTAATTCATCTGTGTGTGTATTATTTCATGCCAATATAACGATGAACAATGTGTCCCCCCCAGGCTTCTAAGCTGATTGGAGCAGGAGGTTATGACGGACAGTTAAAGGTCCAGTTTGCAGGATTTGGCAACCTAGGATGCATCTAATCATCAAATATCAAAGAGACACAAAGGAGACGGGACGGCGTTGTTCCAACGACGTCCCCGTCCTCCCCGTCACCACTGACATTTGATTGACAAGTGGTTTTTTGACACATTTCATCTCAACATGACTCAGAGCGTCTCTCCAGGAAGCGGCCTGACGCCCCAGCGTGAGCACGGTCAGACGGACGCAGGGTCGGTCGAAGTCACGACTGGACGACAAGCTACTAAAATATTAATGACCCCTTCATACCAGAGCTAATCAGAAATAAGTTTCTTATCAGACGTGAAATGGAAACAGCTGTCAGACCAATCGTCTATTTATTAGATCAAAAAACACAAAAACTACAGAAAGCTTTATATTTAACATCTCAGTCAAAGTGTGCATTATTACCGACTGTTAATCAGCAATTAACAAGTCGGTCCCAGAGCGGCCGTTTGTTCCATCGGGCTCCGCAGCCAATAAGCAGCATAAGATGTTAAAATATGTAGCTTCACTTTACGAGACCGCATCAGCACAACTTCATCGCAGTCCAAGAAGACATCTAACGTCGGGGTGCAGGACAGACGGGATTAATAAAGCATCCGTGCATGAGAGAACAAGACTGAGGGCTTAATACCATGCTCATATTTGTTGAATAAGAAGCGTATTAATAATAATAATCATAGTTTATATTTAAATAGAACATTTTATACAGTCAAGTTAAATATGTAAATGAAAACAGAAAACTGAGACAGAGTGGGTCAAGGCCTGAGTAGGCTGGTTTGGCCCAGTTCACATTGGATTTAGACTCCATAAAACTGGGTGTAGGGTCACAAGACACTGTTTGATGGGGTGAATCTCTGTGTGAACGGCGCCGAAGGAGCTCATTCGGGGGGTGTTTTATTGAGGGTGGAGGTCCGCAGACGGCCACGGCCCCGGCTATCTATCACGCCTGACAGGGATGTTATTGTTTGTGAGTGACGGACAAGGAGGGGAAAATAAACGTAAAAATCGAGCCGTGGAGAAATGAAAAAGCGGAGATGGAGAGCTCTCAGACGGCATAATGCATCGTCATCTTCATCGCTCGCCTATCAAAGCGTTTGAACCGACACTTTTCACTTCTTGTGGCTTTGTCTCTGCTGTGGAAAGAAGCTTCTGATGTAAAAGGTTTCTCCCAAAACTTGGGAATTTGACTTGGCGGTTGGTGCATAACATAAGACAAGACAATGGACAACAAGACAGGTAAGACAACATAGTGCAAGAACAACAATAGGAATTTCAGTTAAAAATAAAAAGTAAAAAATGTTTAATAGTTTAAAATTAAGTGCACCAGCGAACAGAAAGCAACAAGTGAAAGTGACGAGCGTATGTAGAGTGTGAAGGGAATGACCGGTGGGCTGTCGGTCAGTGGGGACTCGGGAAGAAACTGTTGGTGTGGCGGGAGGTCTTGGTCCCAATGGACACCAGATGGTCAGACTCCCACCTGTAGGCGGACTCATCCCCACCAGAGATCAGTCCAATGAGGGTGGTGTCATCCGCAAACTTCAGGAGCTTGAACATCAAACACTCTGAGCAGCTGCAAGCCCGGCAGGTGGAGCGCGAGTCCGGTTCGATCCACAAAGCCACGTCTCTGTGAAGCACAAAATGCAGAAAAGTCTTGGCGTGCGAGAGCCATGAACCGGCCTGTTTTCCTCTCCTACGGCGTCTCACCGCGAGTAAAGGTGAGCGCACCTTTGACTAGAATGTCCAGTAATTCCGCAGAAGACAGAAGAAAAGTTGGAAGTAACTCTGCTGGAGTTGTTCCCCGGATGTTCATGGGCTCATCTCTGAACAAAGAGCTCCAGGAATCCCAACAGAAAACAGAATTAACAACAAAAAGGACAAGAAACAAACAGCATCGTCGTACCGAGGCAGCCATCCGCGGCACCATCTTAGATCTCAGATGTTCATCCTCATTCCATTTTATTCAGGAATCGACTCCTCTTTGTCTCTCACACAACTAAAGACTCAGAGCTGAAATGTGTTTTGACTCCTCGGAGGTCTAGAAGGAGTCGACGTTGGGGAGGCTAAACATCCCTCCCTTCTTCTTCTTCTGCTCCGCCCGGACTTCCTGTCTCTTTTTATCGTGCTCTGCAGTTCATCTCCAACATGTCAGACGTTCTTCTGCACCTCCGAGGACGAAAGCTTCTAGACAAGCCCACGCAGCGGGAGGCTTCTGGAAGCAGCTCGTGGGGTTTCTGGTTGGAGGAGGCATCAGCATGATGATGATGATGGTGATGGGAGGAATTCAGATGATTCTTAAGCATGGAACTCAAATTTTACTTTTTCTGTGATTATTTCCTTGGATATTTTACTGATCATCTCACTAATGTTTAACCCCTTCTCAGACATTTATTTGTATGTGTATTTATTTAGAATTTTTACAGTTTTTTTTCCAGTAGTTTCTCTTTCTCTCAAATGTTTTATTCTTTGTTTCTATTGATTTCCTTTTTGTTTAAAATTAAGAATTAGCATTGCTTTTTGTGTTTGGTGATGGAGAATATGATTTAAAGTATTTTTCTGAAGTCACTAGTTGGACAGCAGAGGAGGAAGAGTGGCAGGAATGTTATTATGGGATGTATGGTGGAGGTCAGAGGTCAAACAGGAAGCACAGCGCTCAGCAGATTCCCCAACAGCGCTTGCTTGTCTTCTGACGACCTTTGACCCAACCTGTCCTGTCCACCACGTCCCCATAATGTCTTCGTTGACTAATACTCACACAATGTTGGATACAACTTTGAACCCTTTTTTGACATGTATATATAAGTTGATGTTTGTTGAGTTTCATCCCAGCAGAGTTTTGTCGTCTAAAAAACTCTCTTTCTCATCAAGGTCAAAACCTGCTGCCATCATCATCATTAACAAACTGCTTTGTGTTCGAAAACGGAGAGAAAACCAAAACCGCCACTTCGCATAAAAATATCCCAACATTAAACTTAAAGGACTGAACCATTCACACACAGACACACTCTGGCTGTTAGCGGTTAATAAATGAAGGAAATGAGCAGAGAGACCTCATTAACATCAGTGAAGGTGAGCAGCTAACACGCCAGGAGGCTACTGCTGTTCACACACTAAACCTTCTCAAAAATATGTATATAGATTTAACTATATACAGATTATATATATATATATGTAATTTTTTTAGGGGTTTTATTGGATAATCAATAATATTCATACATTTAGCTGCTCCAGATATATTATTAATACTTTTCTTTAATAGGTTACTGATAATTTGGATGATATACTTTTTGGAATATTATTGGATATTTAAGAATATTCTTCAGGTAGGTAAGTCTTCGTTTATGGGTGGTGGACAAATGTCCTAATATTTTACACATTTGTCTCCAAATATTTGACTATTTAATGCATTTTGGATCCTAGACTTAATCTAGTATGAAACCATTGTGCGTGTGTGTGTGTGTGTGTTAGCATGAGTATTGTGACCTTGGCTGGACTAATTATCTCCATGGAGGACACGTGAGGGAGAGCACGTTTTTCTACTTCTAATGATTCATAAACAATTTTAAGAGGACAAACTCCATCAGGACCATAATTACCCTGTGACACACACACAAATGCATACACAGGCTTCACACAAAAATCTGTAACACAGCCGTATAAGTATTGCAGAAAAGGGATGTTGACATCTTACACCAGAGACCATTGTCATGGAGGCTGAGGAGGAGTCGGCCTCAAGTTCACCGCTAAATCTTTCAAATACTTTCTCTCACTGTCAAGGATGAGCCTGCATGCTTGATTGCGTTCAAAGATATGAAGACTATGACATGTGGAGTAAAGAGTCGCTCCATCAGAGTTGACATCTTTGCAGACTTTAGATTTAAAGTTCTGTGTGTTTTGCATCCAGCTAAAGCAAGTCAGCTTATTGCAGGTGAACGAGGCCCAGCTGGGGAGCAATCAAGCCAATCAACCGGGGGAATGGAGGAGCCAAAACCAACCCTACAAAGCCTGATCTGCTGCCCGGGTTAGTGTGTTGCAAATCAGAGGAAACTCAGAATATTCACTTCAGCATGGCGGTGTCCACCACAATTGTTTTATGCCTTTTCTTTGGAGCCTTTTCAGCTGCGCAGGACTTCAAGTGGAAGACTCACTTGGCTCAAAGCAGGTCTGGAGCCCAGAGACCAAACCAACACCCTCCAGGTGTTTTTTGTGTTGTGTGTTTTTTTCAGAGCTCCTTTAGGAATGAAGACTGAGTGGTTGTCCTTGAAATGCTTACATTTTCAAAAATTTGACTGACTTGTCTCTCCCAGCTCCGCTCCAGAAGAAGCAGTCTCAGGAGGAACCTTTGTCCTGGAGGTATCCAGAGCACCCGGCTGAGGAGGAGCCTCGGTTCCCTCCGGAGTTCGAGTCCAAGGTTCCGTCGGCGGCGGAAAGTGTCACAGCCATCTGCGGGGAGAACTTTGTCTGGGTGGAGGCCAAGAAGGACCTGCTGGGGATTGGCAAACCTATCCTGTCTGCAGACCTCACGCTGGGCGGATGTCCCGCCACTAGGAATGACCCGGAGAGCCCGGTCCTGCTCTTTGAGTCCCCGCTCCATGGATGCGGCAGCCACCTGCTGGTGAGGGGGTCAATGTGAGCGGATGAGACTGTCATTGTGTTTTGCACATTAAAGGCTTTCAGTTATTTAAGCAGACCTGATGAATAATTTCAGTATTGATTGAGGCTGATCCTTTGAGCTCTTCTTTTGGTCTCCACCAACTCCTGATGGAGGTGTTGGTTTGTTTAAACTGAGTTTGTGTGAACGGTAACATATTTGTTTTCCTCTTCAGATGTCTGAGGACTCGTTCATCTATGTCTTCACGCTCCTCTACTCTCCCAGTCCTCTGGGGTCCACTCAAATCATCCGAGCCAGAGACGTCACCATCACCATCCAGTGTCACTACCACAGGTCAGAGTTTACAAGACTGAACCAGATTTTTTTTTTTTTTTTTTTTTGAAAGGTCTATCCTGATATTGTACACACTTGGTACTGAATTACTCGTTATTGGGTTCTTTATCTATGATGTCATTCAGTTGCTGTATTCGTTAATGTGAGTTGGTGTCTGAATTATGTAGTACACTGGTATTTTCATCTGCTTCTTTTAACCAAACTACACACTTTGCCTCAGTCTCCTGATGTTCTAGAGAGCGTGGCGTTTAACCCTCTTTGCTCTGGCTAACTGTTTTAGGAAGCAGGATGTGAGCAGCGCGGTGTTGACTCCGACCTTGAGTCCCTTCATTCACTCTACTGCCTCGGCAGATCAGCTGTACTTCTCCATCAAACTCCTGACCGGTGGGTTGCTTCCCTGGTAGCGGGTCTGAGACCCTACGAGATTTGCCCAAGACTGTTTACCCATCGTTAAGTTCTGTCATTTTGTTTTGAAATGCCAGTAAGGCAAGCTTTGGTAAACTACATAGTTTAGCAGGACGATTCTTCCTTTTAAGTATCGGATGACTAGTTTAGTCCAAATTTTAACCAGTTAATTCTACGCTATAATATGTAGTGTAAATGTTACTGAAAATATCTGGTTCAGTTGGTCGGAGGCCATAATGCTTTGCTGTTAACTCGTCGTTCTGCCCTCACTCCTCAGATGATTGGCAGTCCTCTCGTTCGTCCGCTGAGTTCTTCTTGGGAGACATGATGAAGTTTGAGGTATCGGTCAGACAGTTTCACCACGTCCCGGTCAGAGTGACTGTGGACCACTGCGTGGCCACGGTGCTCCCTCACGTCGACACCGTTCCCCGCTACGTCTTCCTGGGAAATAGGGGGTGAGTCTACCTGAGATGCTCTTCATTATGAAACCTGGCTTATCCTCCCAAGCGGATTATTAAATCCATTTGAGGTTCACTGGCGTTTTGTGTTGCGCTCAGGTGTCTGTTCGACAGTCAGCTAACTGGCTCCAGCTCTCGGTTCCTGCCTCGGTCGCAGAACGAGAAACTGCAGTTCCAGGTGGAGGCCTTCAAATTCCAGCAGGACAACAACGGCGTGGTGAGACGTGACTATCTCCTGCCTATTCGAATTCACCCGGTTTCTACAAATTGTACTAAACCCCGCCCCTCATGTCCATGCAGCTCTACATCACCTGCAACGTGAGGGCCACGGTAGCCGCAGTAGGTGTTGATGCCACCAACAAGGCCTGCTCCTTCTCCAACGGGTGAGACTCCCTGTAGGCATAAACCGCTTTCTTGGTGTGACTGGGTTATAAGAGGTGGCGCTTTGTTCGACAGGTGGAGGGAGGCCAGTGGCAACCATAAAGCCTGTAGCTGCTGTGACTCAGACTGTGGCACAGGAGGCAAAGGTCATGTGACTAAGACGGGTAAGTGGACGCCACAACCAGATGGATCTGTTATTATATTTTACCCTGCACATCCTGGTTGAACCGGACTCTGTGTTTGACTATAATATGAATGATGGTTCAACAGCATTTGAAATAATGCAGTTAAAATTAAAGTTCTGAGCAATTTTGAAGATTAGGTCTGAAATATTTTCCTTATGACAGTTAATTAATGGAGAGTTTTATTTTAAAATGAGCCATTAATATTTATGGTAACCTTTTTGAATTTAATGTTTATAAACTGCTCTTTGCTACAGGAGCTCAGTGGGAAGAGGAGCGAGCCGTGGGACCGATCACAGTGAGGGAGAAACCTCTATGGCAAGCTAACTAGAACATTTAAGATGTGGATGAGATTAAAACTTGTACTGAGAATAAATGAAGTGCTAAAAGTAGTTTGAAAGGGCACAATTTTCTATGTCACTCTTTATGAAATGGGTCAAACTAACTTCTAATGCTGGTTTAAATGGCGCCATGCATGGCACCGTATTACATCACATGATCTGCTCTGCAGCAGTTATTTGTCTCCAGTCCTGTGACCAGAGTAGAGCGTAAGTCTTAATACAGTTCATGGATCTCAATGATGAAATGGGGCAAAAACCTGGTCAATGTGCAGCTCCATCGCCTCTTTCAAATGACTGCAAACCACAACTCGTTGTCTGTGCGTCAGATGCTGCTGGATTTGGTTTCTTCAGAGAACCTGACTGCAGCTCTGCTTCACTCACACAAACTTTACCTTAAAGAAATGTGGCCTCAAGTCCTCTTCGTAAGGGAGGGTGGAATGACTTGGAGTAATTCCATAGTGGTATTAGCAACAGTCCTGCTTTCAAAATGTAACTTTAATTGTTATGTCCTGTGAGTCTGGTCTCCATCACTGCATCATATTCTGGGATCAAACGTTGTATCGAACCTGGTATTTCTCAAGAACACACGTTTAAACTCCTTCAGTTTATCATAAACACAGTTGCCGTATGTTGGGTTAAATCAAAAGAGTAAAGTTAAACTCTGACAACTTTGTCAGCGTACGTGCCTTCGACTGTGTATGTTGAGTTTGTTCCATCCCTTACAGCGGTACTTCCACATGTGGATTGTGTGAGCTGGTCTTTTGACCTCCTAATGACTTTTGACTTTGTCTGACCTGTTCACGCTGCGGTGAGTTTACTCTACCGGGTCAGCTGCTCTGCCTCCTCGCCAGTAGTCAATCCCCACCACGTCCGATGAATCGTCCACCACGAGCTCCCTGACGTATTCATCCATCTCTGGCTACTGCATCTCAGGACGACCCTACCGGAAAATAGGTCATGGGGTCAAGCTTCAAAATAAGTCTTTGGCATGTGAAGAGCCATTGTGGATGGTATTTTCATCAGGATTTTATTTGGTCTGTTTTTTACTCGTTAAATGGAAACTTCTGTACGCTCACGGCACAACGTTGTGCCGTGAGCGTACGTACACGAGGTGCAGAGTTTATTTGTAGGATTTTTTTTTTTTTTTTTTTTTTAAAACTAGTGTTGATCCTTTCACTTCACTGATGGTTTTGAGTATTTCCTTCTGCCATTACACACCCTGCCACAATAAAACAACTTCCACACACCATCACATGTTCCTCATGAAAAGTCTTAACTCATGTTTTCTACTGAACGAGAACCTGATTGGAAAACATATTTAATGTAATTTCCCTTTAAATAGAGAATACAAAGCATTAAAAAAAAATCTATTTTGTATGTGGTGCTTGTTTACCCGACTTCTTTATAAATTATGTTTTGCCCAACTAAAAAGGCAGACAATGATGGACAGTGAATGTCAACTTTTTTTAAATTAAGACATTTCTAGAAACTAAGTCTGAGTCGAGTAAAGTTCTGATCCAGAGTGATTGTAGTGTTGCCAAAATAATGATGCGCAGGATTAACAAAACTATCAAGCTGACTGTGTTGCATTTAATGCTTCTTCCTGGTACTCTGGTTCAAATCCATAAAACAATTAAGAGTCGACTTTTTAACCAGAGAGGCGTTTTGGACAGGTGTTCAATTAAATTTGAGATTTCCAATTAATGTGATTTGATATATTCATGCCTTCCAGAGTCGGGAGAATTGAGCCGGTTTGAGTTGAGATTAACGGCGGTTTGAACCTATTGGTTCAAATTGAGCGCATATACACACACACTGAGTGAAGCTGCAGCGTCACCTGCAGTCTCTGAATGACATCACAGCCCCCCAAAAAATGGAAGTAGCTTTCCAGTCCTGGAGATTGTCTTTGGAAACATTGAGTTTGTCCAGTTCAAAAAGAGAGACGTGAGATAAAACCTTTAAAACCTCCCAATTTGAATTAAACCTTTAGTCCTAAAACGTTTTATATTACAAAGCTACGTCAAAGTAATTATGCAGAATATTCAGGCAGGTGAAATAGATTATATTACTCATTATTAATGTATTAATATAAAACTTGATTTCAATGTCGTATTTGTCTTGGATGGATCTTGGATTATAAATGATTTCCTATGTTTTAAGGCTGGCGCATGCTTCTGCGTCGTTGCGTCAACGCACTCGTTTCAATTCATGGTTCTAAAAGTCTTGCGTGTGTTGCAGAGCATAGGGGCCCTGTTCTTCCTCTCACTGGAACCGTAAGACGACGTAATGACGTGCAGGACACGCACGCCACACATTCCTGACGCGTTCAAGTGCTGTATACAATGTTGGAGGTATGACTTATTTTGAGTAAACACAAAGAACCAATTAGTGAGAAGGGATCGCATGTCGCTCTCTTATACATGTAAAAACTTATATAAAATCTTGGTATGTATGTTTTCTCAGAAAGTGTAGGATCCATTATGACATTTTTTAAAACTCGACTGTCGCAAAAAGTTAACCTTTTTTAGATTCCCACTGAACACAGATATGTTTAAAGCAAAAATGTTGATATATTGAAATTAATTACTTTTTCAATAACACAATTTTTTTAATACTATCCAAAAGAAACGTATTGTAATTCGCTTGGGATAAATGTGTTGTATGTAATATAGGTACATTGTCGTCAAAAAAAAGTTTTGAAATCAGTTCAGCGACCAAAAACCATCCAAACATAGACTTGATATTTAATCCAAGTTTAGCATCTATTTTTCTTGTAATTATGTGTTCAAGTCCCACAAACAAAATAAATAGATTAATTACGAAATACAAAGAAACTGATTTTTTGAGCATTACATGAACGCAACACCAGAGTCCTCCTACTTCCGGTAGGAAAACCGCTATCTGTCAGAGAAAAACATCACGGCCAAATTCCGCTACTCGGACGCACTTCGTACTGCGGACGTCCCCGTTTGCTAGTGACATTCGGTTGTTGTTGTTGTTGCTGTTGTCTCCGACGCACACACAGAAAAAACATGGCCGGACAAAGGTAACCGACTCCCCCCCCCGGTCCCTCCCCTCACAACCCCCCTTCCCCGGGCAGAAGCACCGGCGACGGACGCAGATGGAGAGGCCAGGCAGGCTGCTGCTGCTGTCCGAGCTCCGCGTCGGGAACGCGGCGTGCGACGTGAGCCTGTGCCGGTCTCTGCTGACCTGGAAGAGGCGGAGCTCCTCCGGCCCGGTGTACCACCCGTTCAGACCCAGTAAGACCCGATGACGCGCCCGCTCCTGTCCGCCGGACCGTCGGCCTCCTTGAAAACATCCCGCGCGATACACTAAAGGGACAGACAGAGGACACACACATGGCAGACAGAGGTCACACTGAGGACCGACACGGGACACACTGAGGACAGACATAGGACACGCACACACACACGTTGGTGTGCTGAACATCACACAATGAGCCAGACGTGACACATCCGGGTTACATAACAGACAACACGGCGCGTGGAGGTCACAGGGGGCATTGTTCTTTTTATACTCATCTATGTACACTTTTAAATTACATTTGGACAAAGACGTTAATGTTTATACTTATATCCGCTCAAACTCGCTCTTTTTTCCTTTTTGTTTTTTTATTTTCTAATTAAGTACTTGTACAACTGAGAGTCGCCAACAAGCAGTAGTGTTGTTAAGTACAGCTTTCAGGTACTTGTACTTTAATATTTCCGTTTCGTGGTACTACTACTTTTTCCAATGGCCTACAAATCAGAGAAGAATGCTCTTCTCTCTCTAGGAATACTCTCTAAAAATTCTCTTTTATAACTTCAGGTACTCTGCAGGTTCCAATTGATTTGTACAAAAGGTACCTTGTGGTTCTCCTGCAGGGTTTTGTGTTCTTTGGTTCCCTTGGCGACCAGACTCAGGTAGGACACTCCCACAATGCATTGGGCCGCCTCCAGGTGGAGTTGAGATTGTGGTGCTGCTGTTTTATTTTGTTCCTGTTAAACATGTTTTCTGTGTTTTGACGGTTGATCTGTGAGCCCAAACTGAGCCGGCAGTTATGTCCCACGGTGTTGAACGCCATTAAAGAAAATTACCTCTTAATAAACAACAACCTGACTACTCTCAAACTGCTACAATTAGACTTCATTCATTTTTCTGGACTTTCGTGCCATCAAAACTCACATTTTGGAATATAACTGCTGTTTTCAGAGAAGTAGAAGTTGGAGATATCCATCAGCATGGCGTCCTCCCGCTGCTGCTGGATCTGTGTTGGTTGTTTGGATGCGTAGTTTTGTTGTTTAGATTCCTGTGCTGATTCTTTCGGAAGCGGATCCGGTTTTATCAGATGTTCCTCCGGAGGAACCCTTAAATACTATTCCCTCTCTGGTGTTCATACACAGTCACAGGAGTAATGTTCCCCTCAGTTTGAACTTGTGGCGTTACAAGTAGTTGAATGTTTTATGTTGAACATTGTATCCTGTTAACATTCAACAACAACAACAGCTTGTTCTCCTTGTGGCGGCGTGAGTTCTCTCTGGGTTCTTCACACATCCCCAAAACATGCAGCTTTGGTTATTCAAAGGCCTGTAATAGGTTTGGATGTGAGACATCTGCTTATGTAAGTCTGGATATGCGCTCACAATGTGGGCGCCATGGAGATCTGAATGAGAATGTGTTTGCACATCTGGTTTCACTTCACTTCAGAAAGCCCAAAACGGATCTCACTCAGTTATTAGTTCATGTTCATTCCTCCTTTAAATATCACATGACACTTGAAGCCTGTGGCTCTGATGCTCCGAAGCATCGTCTGTAGGAGAGGTGGACCCTGAAGCTAACGAGCTGTGTGCGCACGTGTGTGTGTACTTGCAGGTGTGTCACACAGCGTGTCAGTGTCGGAGATCATCTCCGTCAGAGAGGAAGAAGAGAGTCGAGGAAGAGACGATGGCAGCTGGAAAAAGATTAAAGAAAGAGAAGGGAAGGACTGCAGGCTGGCCTTCACAGGTAAACAGTCACAAAACACCTGGAAACGCTCCTTTAGATGCATCTGGAAACACATTGAACACTTCTGGAGAAACAAAACGTCTGGAAAGGCGTCTGATCATGCACATGGAGACATACATGAAGACGTGTCTGGACGTGTACCAGGAAATACACCTCTAAACAGACATTGAAACACATGTGTAAATACATATCTAGATATACATCTGAAATACCCGGCCTGGGAAACACACCTTGAAAGACAGTAGTGGGGAAAAAAACATCTGGAAGCAACAAAAAAGGATATTGAAAGTAGCCTTAAAACACCAATAAAACAAATGAATTCTAAAAACACGTTAACCAAGGGAACACATCTGGACAAACATCTGTGAGTGTGTGTGTGTGTGTGTGTGTGTGTGTGTGTGTGTCTCTCTCAGTGTTGTACGTGGAGAGGCGACAGCAGCATCGCTGGCGGTGTGCCGAGGTCACCTTCACCTGTCCAGAGGGGGCGCTGCGTCAGCACTGGGTCGGCAGCATCAGAGAGCAGCTCGCCGCCATCGGTATGACATCACCCCAACGCACGTGTGATTGCAGCCAGACACGCCGGTCACGTTGTTGTTGTTATTGTTGTTGTCTACAGCCAGCAGACCCAAACACCTGCTGGTCTACATCAACCCGTGCAGCGGGAAGCGGAAGGGGAAGCGCATCTACGAGGAGAAGGTTGCGCCTCTGTTCGCCCAGGCCGGCGTCGCCACTCAGGTCATCGGTGCGTTCCGCCTCTCCCACTTCCTGTTCCTCGGGCTTCCTGTGTTACACGTTTGATGGCTGTGTGTTTGTTGTCATAGTGACGGAGCGCGCCAATTATGCGAGGGACCACCTAAGGACGGAGGCGGAGCTAAAGAAGTTTGACGGGTGAGAGTTTAGTTTCTTCACTGACAAATTAATCGTTATGCCACGCGAATGACCCGACAAAATAAAAGTCTGTCAGGTTTCTGGTTCTCCACATTTTGTGACGTTAAACATGATGAAATAAAAAAACGACGCCTCGCCTTTGCCCCGGCTCAGGGTGGTGTGTGTCGGGGGGGACGGTATGTTCAGTGAGATCATCCACGGGCTCATCTGGAGGACGCAAATGGACGGCGGCGTGGATCCAGACAGTCCGGATGAAGCGCTGCTGCCCGGCTCGCTTCGCATTGGAATCATTCCGGCAGGTCAGAAACACCTAAATGCTGCTTTTACGATTTATTTGTTTAGTTGATTCTAAGTCCCTGAGGCGCACTGAACCTTCGAGAAGGTCGTAGGGATCGTTGGCTGAATTTAGCAGCCATCACATTGCTATGGGTGCCTGCAGTTTAAACCTCTGGGATCCAAGATTATTTTACCGAACTTTTTTTAATGCATTCAAATCTTTTTAAAAATGATATCATTTAATAAGCAGTGTGTGAATGTGAGTGTGAATGGTTGATTGTCTATATGTCATCCCTGCATGTGACGGGTGACCTGTCCATAAGTAAGTACATTATAACTAATAAGTAAATAATAGTTTCACTATTTCTATGTACAAATGCATCAGAAAGAAAGGCAGAAATATTTTTATTACATTCCATTTACACATAAAGATTTTTAAACTCATTCAAATCAATGTTCGCCTTTTAAATCCCTCAACATTTGAGTGTTTTATCATCATTATTGGAGACAGAAATGAGATATTGTGTGAAAGCCGCTACATTATAAATAAAGTGAACGAACAAACCTGATTTAAAAATGTCCGTCTGAGATGCGTACTGATGTTTGACGAAGAGCCGACAACCAATCAGAAAGCAGGACTCTCTGTTACCGGGGTGTGAATGCAGGTTCTGCATGGCCTCGTTTCTGTTGTTTCAGTTTGTTTGTGTCCTTTCGTTCTAAAAATGCTCGCAGTCATCGGGAGACAATCATTCTCTCCACATCCATCGTGCGGAAGCAGCTCGCCTGGTTAATTGGCCGCGATGCAACGTGCAAATATTCTAAAGGAGAATATGGATGATGTCTGAACCACCGGCCCTCACCGGAACATCGCTTTCTTGTTTTTACAGGTTCAACAGACTGCATCTGCTTCGCCACCGTGGGCGCCAACGACCCTGTGACCTCCGCGCTGCACGTCATCGTGGGTCAGTCACGCGGCCTCGCTACGCCTCGAGTGTAACACACTCTGTTGTTTGACATGTTGCACAGGGGACAAAAGGACAAAGAAGGTTTTCCTCTAGGGACACCATAACCAATAATGACTCACTCAAATGATGACACTTTGTGGTCAACAACTTGCCTCCAAGGCACATTAAAATGCTGCATAACTACACGTTTCTCACTAAAACACTCCATTGCAGAGCTAAGACGATCCAAGGATGAACCGAAAGTGCAATATATAATAGCAATAGTTTAATGTGCATAAATAGTAAAGTGATTATCTTTTGGGTTTTTGGACTTCACTTTGGGAAACTGAGATGGACGTTTTTCTTTTCTTAACTAAAGACCAACTAATGGATAGTATAACAAATAATAAATGAAGTATAGTATAATAAACAAATGGAAGATTAATCTGAAATGAATGTTTGATGGACCCTTTCTCAAATTTGCAGAAAAGGGATACATTTTTCTTTTCTCGAATTTGCATTTCCAGTTTTGCCATCTTCCAGTGTTCACATCACTTTGCTTTCTATGGTCTCCTGCTGCCATCTAGTGTTATTTAAATAATAACAACAACAACAACGTGAGATAAAAACACTTAACGAACATGGTTGGTACGTGTGTTCATGCGCTCAGGAGACTCTCAGCCGATGGACGTGTGCTCGGTCCACCACAACAGCACCTTCCTGCGATACTCTGTCTCGCTGCTGGGTTACGGTTTCTACGGCGACGTGCTGACCGACAGCGAGAGGAAGCGATGGCTGGGACCGGCCAGATACGACCTCTCAGGTAGAGATGCGAAACTAAAATACTCCAATATGTGATACTTTAAGTTGCTACAACATTGATAATCAAAAACGTTTTCCCAGTGCTCATTTAGGGAGTAACTGGTTGAGCAGTGCAAGGTTAGAGGGAAAAGCAGAAAGTGCCAACCAGGCAGACACAGGTCTGATAAGGATGAGAGTTGGAGACACACCAAGCACCATACAACACTCACGCTTTGTTCGTTATGTTCACATAATTTTAGAAGACCACACATTGTATGTGATTGGATCTTTGGTGTGGCGGGAGGACCTGCTCCTCCTCAATGCCAGTTTAGGGCCAATAGAATTTTTTTCTTTTATATCTAACAAGAAATACAAAATGTAATGTTCTTCCTGATGTTAGTCAGTTGTTCTTCCGGCCTGCGGGCCGACCGAAAGTGCTGCTGCCTTTGCAAACGCAGCGCTGATACTTGACCTGTGATCTGACAAATAAATCTACCAGAACGAGAAAGTTGTTTGGCTGAATCCTTCCAGATATCCCTAACCGGGCTTCCAATTTTTGATCATGTTTGCGCTTTCTTTCAACATCTTATTGGTTTTGTTGCCCCCTGTGGACAGAAGTGGTATTGCCTCCCTCTAACCCCTGTGACTTGTGTCTCCAGGGGTGAAGATGTTCCTCACTCATCACTACTACGAAGGAACGGTGTCGTACCTGCCGGCCAGAGGCATCAAAGGAACGCCGCGGGACGCAGCCCGGTGTCGATCCGGGTGAGACTTCCAGTAGAGGTTGTGTGTGTGGGGGGGAGGCAGCCACTTTGCAGACAGGAAGAGTAAACTATTTCCTGCCATGGGCTCATTGCGTGACACGTACAGAACTTATTTGGTTCTAGTCAGGATTCAGTTAGCCAGCATTTCAGTAGTTAGAACTGAATTCAGTGATGTTGTGCTAATGAATTGAGAGGTTTAGCAGCTAAAATTGTTAGCTCTAGTGACGTTATGTGAAGATTGTTTTTATAGATTTATTTTCTGTACATTTACAGCTGTGTGGTTTGTCAACACAATGGGGAGCAACTTTCAGAGAAACCTGAGCGGTACGAGGTGGACGAGGCATCGGACAGCGGTGAGTCCAAAGAATCCTCATTCAGAGTTTCTAGGACACACTTAAGAAAAAATGACAGCCTTTGGATTGAGAAATCGTGTCAAACCAATAGATTTGTACTCAAAAAGTCTGACGTCAGTTCCACAAACTGGAAGCAGTTTAAAATCCACCTTACAACACATACAAAGCTGTCTGATTTTACCGTGTTACAGAATAAAAGTGGTCCATGAATGAAACCCTGGGGGATACCAAAGGATCATCCTCACACTCAAATGCAATACATTGGATGGTTATTCAAGAGTCAATCTAATCTCTATCTAGTATCTCATCCACCTTGGATTATATTAGAGATGGATTATTATAAAATGGATGGATATATTGTCTCTCTTATTCTATTGTTCTATTGGTATTGTATTTTTTCTTTGGTCAATTCCTTAAAATTCTGAAGTCAAAATCAATGTCTTCCACAATAAAAGCTAGAACAATTAAAAGTCAACAGCTGGGGGGGTGTATCGGTTATAGAAAATGACAGCGAGTGGAGGACAATCAGAGGGAAGTTCCTCGCCATAAACGCTGCCAGCATGAGCTGTGCTTGTCCCAGGAGCCCCAAAGGCCTCTCGCCCGCCGCTCACCTGGCCGACGGCACCACCGACCTCATCCTGGTCCGAAAGTGTTCGCGCTTCGACTTTCTGAGGCACCTCCTGCGGCACACCAGCAAAGACGACCAGGTAGTAGATCGTCCGTCTGGTTTCACGATGTTTCCGCATGATTGTAACAAAGAGACTGAATCTCAAGATGCCGAAAGGTGGAAGGTCTGCAGGCCTCCCCCTAACTGTCTCGTTCTGTCCGCAACAGTTTGATCTGACCTTTGTGGAGGTCCACCGGGTGCGGCGTTTCCGCTTCACGCCGCGTTACTGCCAGAGCAACTCGGACCTGGACATGAGGGAGAACGGCAAACACCAGCTCTTCAGCCAGATTTGCCGCGACCATCCGGCCTGCGGCTGTGCCCCCGCCTACAGCAGCTGGAACTGCGACGGCGAGATCCTGACCCATACGGCCATCGACGTCAGGTACCGCGACCCCCTGGGAGCCTCTTCCCGAATCCTTGTTGAATTTTTAACCCAGGAGGAATTCATTTTTTCTTTTTTAAATTTAAACACCTTCTCATTTTGTTCCCTCTTTCCCAGAGTGCATTGCCAGTTGATCAAATTGTTTGCGCGAGGGATCGAAGAGCCAATGGTGTTTGAGGACCTCCCCAATCCTTGTGCAATATAAGCCCCGCCCCCTCGGACACCGGGTTCTCCCAGTTATGCTGTTACTTAAAGATAAGATAAGCGGAAGGGAAGCAGACAGGTCTTTATTTTTAATGCTCTGACACCCGCAGACAGGAAGTGAGATTTGGTTTCCTCAAATCGTCTTTACCAAGCTTTAGAGGTATTCTCCGGAATCTCGCTGCTGTTTCAATGAAATAATCCGCGGAATGATTGACCTGGAGAGTAAAGTCTCCTCATTATATAGTGTTTTGTGCTGTAGGTCAAATTGTTTAACGGTTGCCGGGTGTCTGGCGCCGGATTTATTTTTGTTATATTGACCTGAAGCTGAGCCCTCGAGGTTAGAGTCCCGTCACAGTAACACAAATCCAGTGTTGCACTAACTCCAGTGTTAAGTAACCCAAATCCTAGTTGAATCCAGGTGTGCTATCTTTTTCTGTTATATACTCAACCGAGTCCAGATGTTTGTGTAGCAGATATTGGTCAGCTGTTACGGGCCCTGGTTCTGACTTGACCGTGGACCTGGACTTGGATCAGAAAACATCTCTGAGACTATACGTCTATGTGGCCTTTTCTATTTATTTTATTATTTTGTCTTGGTCAAGAAACGTTTTTATTCTTAAATCTTCTGACTCGCCACGGTCTCAAATTGTTTAATTTCTGCCTTTTTGACCTTGACTTGTCTTGATTCTGACCATCAAACATTGTCATAAGAGCTCGACACCTATTTGGACCTCAAAATTGTAGTTGTTCGAACTTGACTTTCAACAGCCTATCAACTCTTGATAGGCTTTTGTTTGTTATGTTTGTCGTTGTATGTTTCCATGTTCTTTATCAGGTCTGTAGGGTTTTTTCTATCTTGGGTGCTGCCGATAGGAACAGACTGGAGTTTCCATATTTATTTAGCTTATAAAAGATTAAAAATGATTACAAAAGTTGTTTTTTTAACTTGAAATGATTGTGGATCCGGAGTGATCTGTTACATGTCATGTTTTAACCTGCCAGCCATTCAAAGCCCCCTCCCGTGACAACGTCGATGAAAGCGCTGCAGAGTGCAGCATAAACCTCCAAAGATAAAGATGGTGCATGAAACCAAAACGAATGTACCCTCCTCATGCCGTTAGCGAGCAGTTAGCACGCGTTAGCAAGATGTTAGCCGACATCCAGTCTTTCGATTATTGTCTGAGCACGTCGAGGCGTAGACTGACGTAGCCGCTCTGCACACATCTCCTTCCATTCTTTACTAATATATAATATAGCAGCCCTGCATTTCCTCCACTAACCCTCTAGATGGTGATCACGGTAGTTGATGTGATGCCCAAACATATTTCAGGGATGAACCCTCTAGACTAGCGATCACGTTTCCTCTCCGCGCACGTTGTTGAGCTGGACTCAAACCGACGGAGGAGGAACCCGGTAGCAGCTCCCGGTGCTGGTGAACAACCCCAATGCGTAGCTGTAGCTTTGGCCTGCACGACCCCGCTGGTCCACAATCAGCAAAGTCAGTCGAGAGGGAAAACCCGCCTCAACCCGACGCGCACTCATTCACCGAGTGTGTGTCTCGTGTTGATTGATCTCTAATCGCTGTGTTGAGACAATCTGAGTCTCAAACCTCCTGTTAATCGTGTGAACACAAGGTCGACTGGTGATGGTTAGTTGTAAGAGGAGGATAATTATTTATTTACATTTAGCACTGTCATTATCATTTAATGTGCTTTTAGTATATAGTTTTAGTTTTTTGTGATGGTAGTTGGAGCTGTTAACGCTAGCCTGCTACAATGGCTTATCTTACTATGCCGCTGAGAGCTAGCTGCCGAGCTAACTGGCCGGCTACTAGCTAATGGCACGTTTCCAATTCACACAGACCCCTAGAAAAAGGCTCAGTCGCACCCCAAAAAAACTGTGCGCAAGACTTAATGCCCATCTAAACAAAAAATGCTTTTCAAGAAGCTTGGTGACGTAGCGCCGCTATCTGGCGAGCTACATGCTAACAGAAAAGAAAAGACATTGCTTTTGGTCAACCACGGGAGTTTGCATCAAAGTTCACGATCATTGAACTTGACTTGTTGCTGCAATTCTACTGGAACTAATTGATTTGACTGCATTTATAAATGCTGATGAGGCCGAGCCTTTTCCATCAGCAGCCAAGTGGGGAAAAACAACTTAATTTGAAGCCTAGTCTTGTTTATTTAGGAACACTTGGGGAAAATAACTTTTTAAAGGCCATTGTAACAATAGCGCACAGTCATACTGCTTCTCACATTAACGCATTTGAATACCCCAGTTCAACACTGTCGAGACGTTTTGAATGTCGTCTTACAAATTACATTCTCTCCAGTTAATCCACTGATTGTGTAGATATTAATAGATTTGAATTATAATTTGCAGTGGTATGATTGTACATCCTTAGCATGTGTAATAGCCTTAATCATAACAAGTAGTTTGAAGATTTAACCAAATCATCTCTGGTGTTGCATCAGGTATTTTACTAACAGCATGTAGAACTTAGAATGGAGGGTTACTCTTCCAAATAATAAATCCTTTAAGTAAATTAACTTTCATCTTTAAAATATGTTGTCATTAAAAAGTCCAAATTATTTTTGCAAAGGTTTCGCTCAGTGAAGCATTTGTTTTTCCAGATTTAAATCTGTAATTGACGGGTGTTATATTTATTTTCAAGACTACGGTTTAATCCGTGGAACTCTAGTTTGATCCAATGTGTCTGCTCTCAAGATGTAATCTGACCTGTAAACTGATCTTTTCCTTCTGCTGTAGCCGTTTCAATTATCAGGAATTAAAAAAATATACAATTCAAACGCTTCTTGTTTTTTTGTGAACATCTGAGAACTGAAGGGATTATAATCCCAGTGCAATCCTGTAAAGTCATCATGCTTTGTAACCATAACCCTAACCAGACCATCAGGCAAATCTTTTCTCCGCTCTTTTATGCTCGAGGGCTCATATGTTTTTGTAAAAAATATTTGACTGACTTTCTTTCTGTGCCGTCATACCGCCGACCCCTCACCCTCTTAATCGGCCGGTAGATCAACAGAAGACTCTTCCGGCCCTTTCGCCACGTCACCACTTGATTGTCTCACAAAGGCCTTTTTTACAATGTGCTATAATAGTAATTGATTTTTTCCCAACGACCCATATTAGGACATGTCCTTTTTATTGGACTAATTGTAATAGGATTTTTCTTTCTAGTATAAAAGTAAGCTAATGAAGGAGATTTTGAAGGACTTTATTTTCAAACCCTCCTTGAGAATGTCATAATGCTCAAGGTGAAATTATTCTGTAACAATTTCCTTTAAAAGACTATGTGAAAAAAGATAAATAGGCTTGTGAGAATGATTTGGAGATCAAAAAAAAGATGCTATTTTCTTTTTTTAACTGAACCACATTGAGTTATTTTGAATTATAAAAGTAAGCTCACGAAGGAGCGACTCAAGCAACAGCTATTGCCCGATTTAAAGCTGGTTAAACATTTTACTCCACCCACAGGCATCTCCAACTAAAGTCAGATCCCATTCCCTGTTCCTCAGAGCTTTTTAAGATCATCAGGGGAAGAACGCAAGAAATCCATTCAGATATGTAGAATGAGATTCCCTCCCACGTGGTTCTTTGTCTCGACACCATGAACCTTTTAGTGCAGATAAATCAGGCCGAGGCTTTTGGAGCTAAATTTGGCATTTAACTTTGTGCCTTTATGGAGCCGTTTATTTCCTCTTGCTGTTGTTCTAAACTCACTACGTTGTGCAATCAACATTCTCTTCACACCGATATGTTGAAGGAGAAATTTCAGGAGGGAGAAGGAGAAAGTATTTTCTGCAGAATGTACAAGTATAAAAGGTGGAGGTTATTTAAAAATCGACCCTCTGCATGTGACTCATAATTGACATTATTGAAGCTTTGAACACTAGTGAGCAAAGCAAACAGAAGCATAAAGTGAGTGATAAAAAGCCGAGAAACGTGCACCGGGGGATCGATGCCCCGTATCAACCTGAGGGAGGTTCCATGTGAACAAACAGCAGGCCGCTCTCACAGGTGATTAGAACTCATTAAGGAAGTCGGACCCAATAATCTTATTAAGATTTCAGGAAGCGAAAAACAACTGGAAAATCTGGTTCCCCAAGCGCATGTGTTGACACGGTAAATAGGCAGACCCATAAAGTCGGGGGGTCGATCCCCGAGGGGGTTCAAAAGGAGGCGGCTTGGATCCCAGCAGGCAGTCCGCAGGTCTGATCCCGTTTGGTCTCTGAGGAGGATCCGTCCAGGTGAGCCACCACATGATCTGTTGTTTATTTAAATTACATTATTTTAAGTTTCATTCACGCTGTCACTCACACTTACTATACAAAGTTTTTTTTTAAACTTGTTAAATCATGTTTTTATTGTAGTTTTAGCTTTTTCTGTTTTTAATTTTCACCTTTAAGCCGCTTTGAAGCCTGAGGAGATCAAACCTGAATTATAAAATAATGTTATTATTATTAATATATCAGAGTTTAAATCAAATGCAGGCATGTCTGTTGAATATAAAGTTTAGTAAAAAGTTTTGTAAAAATTATTTTTATTGCAGGTTGAAAATTACTAATTACTGTTGAAATGTTTCGTTTTTGTGAAGTTTTGCGTTTAAAAATACAAGGTTTATTTTATAAATGAAGAAGCACTATTATTTACATGAAATGTATTACATGTAATTCCTAAACCAGTGGCATCAAGCTTCTGCTGTATAACCTTATAAATCCACATTGTTTAGAAAGCTGTCTGTGAACATGATAATTAAATCACAACCCGTTCAATGCTGCAGAAAGAAGAACCGAACCAGAGGATCCACCTGAAAGCAAAACCTTGCCTTCTCCACCGGCCTCATGATGCCATCAATTAGTGTGACTCAGCTCTTCCTGCTGTCGGCCCTCCTCCACATCACCACATCCCTTCCTGTCAGGTAGCCTCACCTGTCCACCGCTTGAAAACCTCCACCAAAGACAATAAATATGATATAATTATGTATATACATTACAACACGCGAGCTGCTATAGTTTCATACAAATCATACAAATGGAAAACTAAATACTGAACGTTTTATCATGTTTAGTTTCTCTTTCTCAGTACAGAGGAATCATTTTTTAAATGATCTTCTGTTCTTTGCATGTGTTTTAAAGTGCATATTGTGTCTTCCTGTCACGTGACTTCAGGGAAGAAGAAGAGGTGGAGGCTTTCCTGACTCAGGTCGGACAGCTAAACGCGTGGTCTCCGTCCAGAATGAACTCCGCCGATGCTCTGCTTGAGGCCGGACTCAGGTGAGGTCACACCAACAGAAGAAAGAATGTGGGCGGGGCTTACAACTCTTAAAGGTATAAATGCTACAGTAAAAAAGGTTACTAGTCGTGGTGAGACAACACCACCTGAATCTAAATAATTACGCTTTAAGGACCACCATTTACTAAATGAACATCATGCTGTATTGAAGAAGACTTAAACTAGACATTGAGACAATAAACAACTTACGACAATACTATCTGAAAAAGAGTTCGCTCTAATCATTTGTCTCCTCTGGCTTGCAGGGGCCAAAACATCTCCTACAGCTGGTTTAACTTTATTGAAACATACGGAAAAAACAAGACCTATTTTCTCCTCTTTGTTTCATTGTACTCTGAATTGTGCTCATGCAGCCTTTCATTTTAACCTCATTGTCAGATATAGATGTATAGGTGTCGTTTAAAGAAGAAGCGTGACTGTGTTTCAGGCGGCTGCTGTCGGCCGGTCTGGACCGCCGGAGGCAGCTGGGAGACATTGAGTTCTCCAACAGGTACGCAGAGTTCCTGCGATCCAAAGCCAAACACAACTCCATCTGCGCCTTCCTGCGCCGCATGCAGAGCGTCAGGAGGAGGTGAGGCTCCTCAGGCCGATAACCGCAGAAGGCCAATGGCTTCTGTAGAAGATTCTGTTGTACCGATGACATTAATGCACTGGAAATGTTCAGCGCACTCTCAGGACTACAGTAGAGTGTTCGAAGATTGACATTTTAAAAAGGATCCGTCGTTTTTTACAAAACTGAAGAAGAAACCGATCTCCAAATGAAACTTTCATTTTCTGAGCACAAATCAACTCATTAACAAGAAAGTCTTTCCTCTTAGACTGAAAACATGTTGGAAGTGTAGTGAAAATATCTTTCCTCCCCAGCACTGTTTAAAGCTAGCGTGGGTAGTTAGCATGAGTGCGCCAGATTTAGAAAGAATTATCCCACCAAAACTTGTGTTTAGCATTAGCTAATTAGCGAATTATAATCCTGAACGCAAACAACTAGCACAGCCAACGTTAATGCTTTGAATAACGTGGCTGGTGAGAAATGAATGAGTGTTCTTTTGTCGGAGCGTTTGATTCACTGTTCAATGTCAGGATGTGACGAGTACTAAATGTTCTTCTGTGAAGACGACCCGTCGTGTCTTTAACCACGTCACTGTGTTTTCGCCCTCAGCGGCGCAGGGGGAGACTCGGAGAAGGTGAACCTGCTGCTGAAACAGTACATGTGTCCTTCCGTCTACGACAGCTGGCCGACCGACCTGTAGAAGAAGAAATAGCACAGAAGCCGACGTGAGAAGGACGGACAGGTGCTGATGTACTGAATAAAGCTCTTTACATGCAGCTGCAATTTAAAATGGAAACATGGATATCTTTGTTATTAAAATACATTTTATGAAGAACTTCAGTGTGTTTGCTGACTGTAATGCTTTGAATTAGTGAGGTTTGTCACACGGTTTGTCCTGAGGGCGGAGCTAGAAGAAAGGTCATGGGGTCATCACAAGCAGGGAGGCAGGCTTTAAATCTAACCCACAGATATACGCATGATAGCAATCATTTACTCTGAATCCCATTCATGCACAGAAACAATTCCCACCAAAAAAATCTAGATATCGCAAAACATTTTCATGCTCCGGGTTTAGCGATCAAAGCAAGAAACCAACTAACATAAATTATGACATTGATGAAGCGTGTGACTTAAATGTGAAATGCGTGTAGAGAAGAAAAAAATATCAAAACCAAATTCACACCAAAAGGCCACGGACGCTCATTCAGTCAGTCAGTAACGTCCGTTTAGCTTCATTCTATTTTATATATTTTATTTTAGTTTATTCTGATGAAAAAAGAAAATGTCCCCTCGTGGTTCATCACCTGAGACTGACGCACCTCAGTGTTTCGACACAAACAAATACGACAAAAGCAACAGTACCATCAATGAAATGGCTCCAACAGCGCCCACTGAGGCTCACTGAGGCCCACTGAGGCCGCGGTGGCGCCTATTCTTCTGCCGCGCAACATGGGCAGCTGTGCCCCGGCGGTTTGATTCCCGGCTCCTCTGGTTCACATGATGATGTGTTCTTGAAAAAAGAGACTGCTCCCAAATACACAACATTTAAAATATATATATATATAATTAATGGAATAGGACTTTGGACGCAATAACCGTTGTTTGTTAGTGCTGTTAGCACCCTTAGCTGTGAGCCGCCATGTTCACAGCCATGTGTATGCCTTTGAATATAGTATTTAGCCCCTTGAGAGCTTTAATGATCAATATTAGTAGATGTTTGTTCATGGAGTTCACATTTCTCTGGCATGTTTATAATCCTTCCATGAATTATTCATATTTCTTCATTAACAGGTGATTTACTACTTTGATTATTATTATTTCTTAATCCATCCATCCATCTTGAAACCGCTTATCCTGCACTATTCAGTTGAATACTGAGGTTTATAAAATTGCAATCTTGAAAATGAAAATCCTATCCCGGCCACGCCTCAAAGATTATCCAAATTCGCGGTCGACGTGGTTGTGATGTGGTTGTGGCGTTGCTCGTCTGTTGATTGGAGCCTGAATGTAACCACACAATCACAATGGCAATACATAAAAGTACATAAGAGTAGTAGTAGTTGTGTTATATTTGTGTTAACGGGTAAAAATCCATAGAAATCTAAACCTCCACATAACATACTTGACATATGGTTTGCTTTCTGTGTTTATGTGTTTGTTGTCAACCATAAATGGAGATGCATGAACTCTGGATGATGCTGGAGAAGAGGTCAAAGAGGACATGCTAATATAATGAAATAAATTGGTAAAAACTTAAAGGCTGTCATTGGGTCTTTAAATGTCTGTGTGTGTGGACATGTAGCCTCTGTGTCACACTGATCAAATAAAAATTATTGGTCACAAATAATGTTTTATGACTTCCCAGCACAAACACACCTGTGGTATGTTTTTACGACGGGGAAAAGTCCACCGAAGCCATAAAGCCGAGCAGAAAGGTCGGGAACAGAGACTAACGGAGATCAGTTGGGACCTGGGCAGACGGAGACATGGAGGCGATTCATCCAGGCTTCACCGCCAGCACGTCTTTCTGCTTGCTTCTTCTGATTCTGCTTTCAACGTCCGACGCACAAAGTGAGTTCAGAAATCAGCTGCTTTGCCTGAAGCTTTGTTCTATCACCTCACAAAGAGCGATGACAGTGTGCTAACAAGTCACTGGTGGTACAGACGGATCAGTTATAACCTCTGATATGAGACTTTGGCTCAAGCGGGAAGCAGTTGAGGTTTGACATGGAACCAGCGCAGTGGAAAGTTTGTGTGTGGAGGCCAGAGGGCTGAAGGGTGGAGACCAAGTGATTATCTATCAAATGATCGTCGGATAATTTGGTGCTTTTATCAAACAGCGGCTTGTTGCTGAGGGCAAAACATTAGGCGCTTATTTACGGTCCAGGGGAAAGGACTTTGGACGACAAGTTCTCAAATCGTCCATTCTGAGCTATTATAAAAGAAACTTTAAAACACATTTAAAAAATGGGAAAGGGTTTTATTATCTCCCATTATCCCTCAATCGTGTCCAGATCCAAGTGTTAATAGAATAATTGACCCACTTGGTCGATCAAATATGCTCCAATCCGGACAAAAGCTGTCCGGAGGACGATAACAAAAGAATAATTCCATAAACTTTAGAATTCTGTGGGAAAAAGCTCTCTCCATGATTCATGTTTATGTCCTTCCTGTTTCCATGAGACTTACCTCTACTGTAACTAAGCGAGGCTCATCCACTCACGTCAATACTACCTTTGAACTTTCATATCATCATGAAGTATGTTTGAGAATATTCTTGTGCACATAGGGTTATATGCACAGAATTCTGAGCCGCCGATCTGATGTAGTGGGCACACGCAGGTGAAACTGCTTCTTCATTTTACTATTTCCACTCTTCTTCTTTCCTGACAGTCTGCTCTGCAAAGTCACCAGTGGAGTTTGCAGAAAACAACACGGTGGGAGCCGTCGTCTTGGAGATCACCGTCCAACCAGGCGTGACCCTTGAGTTCCAAGCTCCTGTAAGCCCCGACAACCCGTTCGTCTTGGAAAGAAACAGTCTGTTAGCTGGGAAGGTGTTGGACTATGAGGTATGAAAGTCGCAAAATGTCGAGCAGATTCAAACAACACATCTCTGGTTAGTCACTAGTCTGTAGAAATACCTGACTGTTGACCATAAAAACTTGTTCTTTTGTTTATAGAAGAACAAAAATCATGAAATCAATATCATCTGCACTAAGACGGACACCAGCGAGAAGGTAACACTTTTCCTATTCCAAACAATTAAAAACTGTTGAAATGAGTTGAAATTTTTTGATAAGGTTCCTTAGGAGGTTCTTTGGGTTCTCGCGGTGGTTGTAAAGGTGGTACACGTGTTTGAAGAGATTCACTGGGTTATCAAGGAGGTTCTCAAGAAGATGAAGACGTTCTCCGTGGTTTTGAGGAGATATTAAAGGTTCTTGATAATTAGGTACATTTTGGGGGGGGATTGTTCAGGTTCTTGACCAAAAAATGATTGATTGAAGAGGTTCCACCGATACAGAGAACAGTGCCGTAGCCCAAGAGGTTTGCACGGGAATTAAGGAATTTTTACTGCTCCTGCAGATGCTTAAGGGGGTTTTACAGGTTGTTGAAGAGGTCCTAGATGCTTGAGGGCGTTTTACTGGTTCTTGAGGAGGTCCTATGCTTGAGGAGCCATCAGGTTCTTATAAAACGTCTTGAGAGGCTTAGGAGTTTGAACACGTTATTGAATCAGGAAATTTTATTGCAAAAGTATGTTGGGAAAAGAAGGAATTTGACATGGAATTTGACACAGTGCAGGGAATATAACTGAAAATTACAATTAAATATACAATAAAATATAGGAGAATATAAAATTGAAATAAATGAAATTGAAAAAGTGCACAGGCACACAGATAACCATACTCTACACAAGTGTATTGTGAGTGTATGTGAAAGTGACATGTCTATGTGGACTGTGAAGGGAGTGCCCGGTGGAAAAGGGGATGTCAGAGTCGGTCAGTGGGGGATCGGGCTCTGTTGATGAGCCCGCCTGCCGACGGGGTGATGGGGGAAGGTAGGACTGCATTCTTCCTGAAATCCATCTACTGTCTTCAGAGCTTTGAGCACCAGGTTGTTTTGACTACACCAGGTCATGAGGTCATTTATGAGGTTGAACAGGCGGTTGAAGAGCTACACGTGCCTGAAGATTTGGGGGGGGGTTTTTAGAGGAGATTATTAATGCTGGAAAAGCATTGGAACACCCTTGAGCATCCTTGTGAACACAAGGATGCTCAAGGGTGTTATACAGGAGCATGACTAATCGAGGTTTGTGAGGAGGTTCTCAGGGTTTTTCAGAAGATTTTGGTGACGCTTTTGGATTCAGGATCTACATGCAGCTCAGGATGGCTCTGATGGATATCAGAATTTTGTGTCTTATTTTCATATTCTTAATGTTCAGTCACACATCATTTACTGTGCAAGTTCTATGCAATTGAAGTAGTAAACAAGGATATAAAATGAAAACAAGCATTTAAACAAGGCTTGTGTCTTCTTGTTCCCAGTTCCCTCTCACCATCGTCGTACTTGTGGTCAATTTGAATGATAACTATCCGCTCTTTGACCAAGACACGTACCTGGTTAACGTCCCTGAGGTAAGACTCTGAAATACACCTTCAGACGTATGTTGTTCACTAATATCTAGTAGATATATGAAATATAATCAATCAATTTGTGCATGTATGTACCTGTTGTACATCCAAGTTGCTCTGGGCTACACTATGTGGCCAGAACTATGTGGACATTTCATGATCTACTTACAATGACAGAAACAATCATATTTTAGGCTTTAGCCTTCTTCCATTTTATTATATTCAGGGGGGGGGGGACTTAACAAGTCTGCACTGTCTTGACTTCAAACCAGAGGAGTGGAGGCTCTCATAGAAGGTTCATCATGTTCAACACGTACTTCTGGCCGTGTAGAGTTTAAACAGGGGCTTTATTCGGTTTACATGGATCTTTTGAGGAAAGTGTCAGAGAGGTTTCAGTGGAAGCTGCTTTAATCCCTACAATGGTTTCTGTCCCAGATGTCTCCTGTAGACACAAGTGTGGGCCGCTACGCTGCCACGGACTTGGATGGTCAACAAATCCTCTACTCGCTGACGCCTCTATCTGTGAGACCGTCTGCTTGTTTTTCTCTTCAACATTGAGATAAAGCCTCTGGTTGTTTGCCTTCCGTCTAATCTTCAATACTGAGATACTACTAAAGGCTTTGCCTAGCATTAAACTGCTAGCTCAAGGGTCAGACCTTAAGACATTTTATTGTCCCGATGGATTTCTGCAGAAGGGCTTTAAGCTGAGGTCACAGACCAACCCGGATCTCCTCGTCGAGATGCCCCTTGACTACGAGAAAGTCAAAACTGTTGAGCTGATATTAACTGCTGTGGTGAGTACTGCTCATTGCCGGTCTTAGAGTCTGGTTTACCTTTTTTAGAGTCAAAGAAATATCTGTGAAAGTGTATTTAACAGGATTGTGAGTTCAGTTCTTCACTAATCCGCCGACTGTCCTGCCGCGTTGTACAAAAGACAAAAACAATTTAATTCACGCTTCTCCTTTTAAATTTTTTGAAAGGATGGGCCGCCGGGCAGTGATCCCTTCAGTGCCACCACCACCATCCTGATCTCCATCTTAGACGTGGACAACAGGCCGCCGTGGTTCCAGCCCTGCAACAAACACGAGGTCGGGGGGGCAGTTGTCTGCCAGAATGACGGCTACACCGGCAGGGTCGTCTTGAACGAACAAGAGGTCCAACACTTCATCTGGAAACCTTGTTTCATCCTAAACCCCTTTACTTACACACCTCCAGACAAACAACTGCATTATGAATGAAGGACGATCCACGAATCGTTTTCCAAACGGCAGGAATGCAACAGTCTGTGTTCTAATGAGAGGTTTTACAGCCAAGCCTCGAGGCCTTTTGGCGGACTTCTGTCTCCGACTCTCCGCCACATGCCGCGACGATGATGACAATTATGTGACAGTGTTTTTTTCCTTCGCAGCCCGGAGCGTTGCCTCTGGATCCCGGGCCGCTGTACGCCATCGACGGAGACTCAGGGATCGGAGAGGCGGTAACGTACTCGTTCTTAAACGGTGAGGGTTCAATCGAGGTTCGTCGCTCGCCCGCTGACTTGCAGGTGATCGGCAGGTAGAAGCAGCTCCCCTTGTCTCTGTTTCAGGAGACGCCGGCGGCCTGTTCCGGATCCACCCCGTCTCTGGGAACATCACCATGCTAAAGCCGGCTAACCAGCTGGTGCCGATCGGCCTGACGGTTCTGGTAAAGACGAAAGTTCCATCATGCGATCCGCGGGCCACAGGGAGATCTGTTTGGTCTGTGCTGTCGTTGCTTAGCGCTGTAACCAAATGATTCCTTCTATGTTTATAATATCTGAAACCAAAACCAATACATATTTATATTTTAATATAAATCAACCGTAACACAAAAATATTTTTTTAACTAATTGATTAATCGTTGGTCCATAAAATGTCTGAGGTAGGCTACTTTTTAAAAGCCCAAACTGATGTGAAACTAACAAACAAAATATTTTCAGTTTTGTAGTTTTATAGTTTTATATTTTGGAGGCTTGCATGACTCAACAATAATTTTTTGACACATTTTCTCTCTCTTGAATGGATTCATTTGATTTGATTGACATATTTAAAAAACACAAGGATATTTTACACTCTTCTTACAATATATATACATATTTTTAACAACATTCAGAGTATAATGTAAAAAAGATTAAAGGGTAAATCCATAATAAAATGGTAAATCTGTCACTCATTGAGAGATAACCGATCAGAAATGTGTCTCCCAGGCTGCTCAGAGTACCAACAGATTCCAGTTTGCCATCACCTCCGTCACAATCAGCGTGCAGCTGAAGAGTCTATACCCCCCGAAGTTTCAGAGGTCACAGTACGAAGGCGTCGTCACCGGAGTGGGCGTCATGGCAACGGAGCTCAACGCCCCGGACAAGCCGCTGCGGATCCTCGCTACAGACGAGGACTACGGCCCTGAGGTATGAAACCGTGATCTCGGACTCCTGTTACAAAGACTCAAAATTTCTAGTGGAAGTGGTCTAGTCGATCGTCTAGAAACACAGACCATATATCTGAAAGGCTGTTAAAAAATATAGTTATTCATTTGGAGTTCAGACAAACCCTCATAACTCGGTCTACTAAATACTCACCGTGGCGAGTGTTGAGAGTCCTCTGTCTGCTCAATGTGTTGCACTGACCTTTTGATTCATGTTAAAACAGGGTATAAATCCCTACATTTCCTACTTTGTTGACGGGAGCAGTGATTTTGCCATCGTCGGCGGCTATTTGTTCCTGACAAAGGATCTCCCGGGGGGCTTATTGACTCTGCAGGTGAGTCTACGAATCTACAGCCAAATCTCCAAGTCACAGAATGACAAGAGCGGATTTTCAATTTAACCTTCATTCTTCCAGTTGAGCGCCTTGGACACGACCAACGATGAAAAAGCTTCGGTTCAGCTGCTCCTGGAGGTGACTTCAGGTAGAATGAACCCTACACGGACTGGCTGTGCTTCATTGCATCTGCTGCGGGACCATCGAATACATGCAGGGGAGCCACAGTCAACAGCTCGCAGCTTGCAAAATGCCAAAAATGTCCAATTGGCTGCTGTTAGACCCCCCCTCCTCCTTACCCAAAAGCAGATTTGACATATTCCAGGTGCAGAATTGATTTGGCTCATATCCTCGAAAAACAACTTTTATGGGAATGTTGTGCCTGGGTTGCCTGGTTATGTCCGTCTCATCCGATGCGTGGGAAGGTGATTGTGTTTTTTTTAATTGTCTCCTCTGTGGCGTGGTCCTGTGGTTGGTCTGCTCTCATGTCACAAAGAACTGCAGCAGAGTTCATTTGGATCCGAATTAGGCCTTTTCAGGCTGTCTGAGAAACATGGCGTTCAACTGAGGCGCTCCAAGTCGAGTGATAAAGCAAACTTATGTGACATATAAAAAGACGTGATTTTTTTAACTGTCTGCTACACTTCCTGTGAAGCAACGATTCATTTAATGCTATTTAAGAAGCTACATCTTGTCTTCTCCATGATACTTCACCGTTGGATCCACTGATTCATTGTAGCAAAGTGTACTGAAACTTCCAGCAGTCCCGTTTGTGCGAATCCCTCTGCATCCGGTGTGAAGAACCATTCACCTTTTGGGAGAGAGCAGGAGGTGAAAACACTGAGCTTCAAAGTGTGTTCTCCTCATAGGTCTAACCACCACCAGTTTGCCTCTGAGCACCACAGACACGACGTCCTCCACCGACAGCATGGCCACAGAAGAAGTGTCCACCTCCGACCCAACGGCCTCCACCCCCGTCAGCCTCTCAACGGCCTCCACCACTAATCCAAGTATGACCAATGAAGGCAGAACACAGGCGGTCACGCTTCCCTCTCAGCCACCTCCGCCAAGTTCAATATGCAATCCAAGTTCAATGTTTCCGTCACGCTAAGATGACAGCGATCATTGGGGGTTAGAACATGTGATACGCTGTTAAAAAAACAATAGGAGCTCCGGCGTAGCACCGAAGGGATTTAAGAGAGGGATGAAAGTTCCTGTCGTGGAAGAGTTCACGATATGTTCCATGGCAGACTGTGTCGTTGACATGAAAAGCAACCAACCACAGAGCTTTGTCCTCAGCAATCGAGACTCGCACCAGGCCGACTCGTCGTCCAGCTCAATGTGGACCCAGCTCAACTTTATCAGACTTGTGAGAAGTCAAAAGAGCAAAAAAACAAAATGCTTGGAGACTTTTTTTGTAGGCGCTTTGTTTGGCTAATGTCTAAATTGGAAGTTGAGCTGTTGGACCACTATGAGCACAAAAGAAAACCAGCCTTCCACAGAATGTTGAGAGGGGAATCTAAATTTGTGGCAAACGTAAAAATAAGAGCCAAAGCAACAGAATAATCAACTTGAAGCAGAGAAGTGATGACGATCGGTTTATCTTGTTCAGTTAAGTTTCTGAAATGCTGTTATATTGAACTTACATGGGAGGACTGATTTAATTGTGTAGTATTTATATAAAATGAATGCATAATGCAACGTTTTAAAAAGCCTGACGTCATGCATTCATCCAACCCATATGCTTTATTTAGCCGGCCATCTATTTAAAAAGCCACACGTTAAATTTAAGATTTACTGGTTAGAGATTCAGCCATTTTTTGTTCAATTTTTGGGCAGCTGGCCCCCCCCCGGGCGCCTTCGGGGTGGTGGACATGGCAGCGCTCGGGGCCACGCTAGGCGTCCTGCTGCTGATCTGCCTGGCGGTCATCGTGGCGCTCGTGGTCCGCATCCGGAAGGCAGACGCGGACGGGAAGAAGGTTTTCGAAGCCAGCGTCTTCCAAAGCTCGGTAAGCTGGTTGTGAAAAATGTTCCCTGATTGAAGTGGGATTATTGGGGAAAACGTTCTGTAAGAGACACGCTTGCAGTTTAACGCCTCTATCTTGTAGGAATCTGCAAACACTTCTAACCTCGTCATGTTGACCATATGGTGTATGCTGACCACTGCAGCTCCTCCAGGTCACCAGCAGGTCTTTGAACCATTGATCCTGATTTCACCCGCATGTGCTTTCCGTCCACAGCTGGGTCGAGGCGGGCAGAAGGGGGGCATCCAGTTCACCAACGAGGCCTTCCAACACGATGAAGATGGAGACAGCCTGGGCTCCGGTAGCCCGGCGCCAGGATACCTCGGCGGCAGTATTGCGTCGGGCGACCTTCCAGTGAAGTCTCCGCTGCCGCTGCGTTCTCTCCCACGTGGGGATGATGGTGATGACGATGGCAGCCAGGCGGGCTCGGACAGCGCCGACAGCGAGGGGAAGGATGTAAAACCTATCCTGACCAAGGAGAGGCGCGTGGACGACGGCTACAAGTCCGTCTGGTTCAAGGAGAACGCCAAGGACGAGGTGGTCATCATCCAGGACAGCGAGGAGGAAGAGGAGGAGGAGGAAGACGACGACGACGACGTGAAGAAGCCGTCGTCCAGCGGCAGAGAGGAAGACGAAAGCCCGCGGGTTAGAACCCAGAGGGTCGGCTTTAACGACACCGATCTGGACAGCGGGCTCGGGGTGAAGATGGAGGATCCTGAAGATGACTCAGAGGGTGACGAAGACATGAACAATCATCTGTGAAAACGCCCACAATAAAATGTAATGATTTATCAGCAATTGGCTGACAGCCTGATCAGTTAATGACAGAGGCGCAGTGAACCAGCACTGAAAGCACCCTATAGGATTTTTAAAAGGGTAATTAAATTAATACCTTGAGTAAGTGCTTTTAAATACATTCCACAGCATTATTTGTGTAAATACTTGTCATAATTACTGTGGAGATACCTTTAAGATAAATTAAAGATATTACGTTCAGGTTTTATATCAGTCTGAGGAAATACGGGAATTCAGACCAACGTTTCTGTGGACATTGCTTGTAGTGCAGTTACAGTAGAAGATGATCTTATGAATTCTATTGATTTTTAAAAATGACATGAACTTGTCATAAGGCGTTAAAGCACATTCATTAATATTCTAATTTAATGAATGAAAAGTTGTCTGTACGTTTAGCTTCTCCCTTTAGTGGATATTTTGCACAAGAGTTTCCAGACCTAGTAATTATAGTTGATAATTCATCGCTTATAGTGATTGGTTTCAGCACTGAAAAGACGCACGCGATCATGTCGTCTGAAACGCACACACACTATAAAACCCTCCCTGCTGATAACGAAGACGGTAAAACATAATGATCGGAGCAAACTCTGAACTTCCATCAAGCAGAAATCTGACACATCAGTCAGCAGATGAACTGAACAAATTTAAATTAATGAAAATAAAATGTGACTGATTGTTGGCTCAAACCATTAAAACCGTAACCTGAGAAATATGCTTTATAATTATTGTCCTTCAACTTGCTTTGTTGTCTTAGGCCATTGAAAAATTAGGAGACTTTGGTAAATATGAATCAACTGATTATATTAACTATGTAGTTCATAAAGTTGTATTCAATCATAAAGAAAGAACCACAGAAGAAGAATCCAACCTGAGGATAATTCTCTACTTACTGACACATACAGGCTGAAGCTAGTACTGGACAGAACCGACAAGGGAGAGACTGTGACATTTGATTTTACTGACTTAAAAAAAAAAAGTGTACATCACTTTTTAACAGCAGAAATTACTTTATTAAAAAAAAAAACTATTTGTACATTGACTCCATTTTATAAAACCATTAAATCAAAAATGGTCGGGTGGAAATGAAACCTGATAAACCACAAAACAAACAGAAGAAGAACTGGAACTGAAGTGAAACAGGAAGCGCATAAAGCACAAACGCTAAATGAGGCAATGTGGCGTTAACAACTGTATACTGAATATATATAAAGAAAGCTTTTTTTTTATAAGGAACAAAATCCAAAACTACAAAAGACTAAAATACTTGGCAACGACCAAGTAATAAATGCTGGTGTGACAGCCTTCTGACTGACAGTTAATAGTTGATACACGTGACGACGAGCGGCTACAGACACACGATTATAAAATGTACACGGCCCTTTAACCGGCCAGCAAACACCATCAGAGTGCAAAAAAAAAAGTGGCTTTGTTAATTTATTCAAAAACTAAAAAAACGATCTCGTCTGCTTATTTAGATTCAAATGTTTTACTAAAACTTTAAAATGCTGGCAACAAATTAGCTCTGTTTTCATCCTATAACACTTGCCGTCTCCGAACTATGTTTGGAAAAAATTTGGAAAAAAATCTGTTTTACGGCCTCATTTAGTTTCGCTTCAGTTAGCATTTTGAGATTTGTGCTGCATTCAAGTGTCAAAATAAATAGAAAATAAATTTGTGAATAACTTAAGTTCTTGTGAACGGCTTGTCATTCATTACATTTGAATAAACGCTGACAGGTTTACGCAATAAAATACGACACGTCGTCTTGGTAGCTTCCAAGTTGTTTCCATATTCAAAGTTAGAAAGGTCAAGAAAACATCGTTAGTTAGAAGTTAGAAGAACTAGATTCCATTTTGAAAAATCTGATGTTTTAAGCCTAGTAATTCACACCGTTTGAATAAATATTGTTTAATAATATTTAATGACGTCAACTGAACTGTGAAACCTTTCAGCTCATTGTGTTTTTTAAATTGTTTAGCTTTATTCATCACACTTCAGGCTAAGAGAAAAGCTGAAGCAGAAACAAATTGTGATATTATAATGTGTTGATATTGGATGTTAATATGTGGCTTTAAAGTATTGGTTGGGAAAGAAAGCTAAAGCCCTAACCGAAAAAAACAATTACATTTCATAAATTTAGTGGTTTGAATTTGTTTTTTTAGCTAAAACATAAAAGCGCACTGAAGTAACTAAGTGGTTTACATTGTTAGCTTTAAGCTAAAACACAAAAGCGCTACACTGAAGTACCTTTCAAATGGTTTACATTGTTAGCTTTAGCTTTTAGCTAAAACCTAAAAGCGCTACACTGAAGTACCTTTCAAATGGTTTACATTGTTAGCTTTAGCTTTTAGCTAAAACCTAAAAGCGCTACACTGAAGTATCTGTCAAGTGGTTTACATTGTTAGCTTTTAGCTGAAACATAAGAGCTACACTAAAGTAACATTGGTAGCTTTAGCTTTTAACTGAGACAGAAAATTAGGTTGAGGTTAATTCTGTGGTTCACATTAAATGCTATAGAACAATAGAACACAAACCATCGCTTACCACCACATAACAAACATACCATAATATTAACGGACTGTAGGCTAAGCTGCTAAGTACAATACAGCGGCATAAAATGAATACGTTTTTACAAATCCCTGAAGACACTAATGTAAATGAAGGAAGTTTAAAAATCTGTTAATACTGTTGAACAGATTGAAATTGTTATTAAGTAAAAAAAACACTGAAACATGTAAGTGTAACTGACATGTCATCCAGAAAGTAAGTAGGCCTACGGTATTATAAATCATTGTAAACTGATTATTTTGGGAGTAATTGAATTGATATGCTCCGGACCATTTCCCTACTTTCTCAGTTGTTGTTCTACTTTTTAGAGCACCTTAAATTTAAAACATTTTCATTTACTTTTACCCCTATGTGAAGCCAAAGAGAGATTTAGGTCTTTAAAATTAACATGCAAGTGATTTTCATCTGTGTTATGGTATTAACAGTCCCAACCTGAGAGGTATTCAGTTCGCAATGATGCATAAAACAAACAGCACTTTAGAAAATTCTCACATTGGCAAAGCTCTAAATAAGAATGGAAATGAAAGTGACTTCAATGATGAATCTATCCTCACAAATGCTGATAGAGTAGTCAATTCCCACTGTGTGATGTGAATGTCTTGAGCTGAAATCAAACCGAGCCTCAACAAGCTGATTGAACTTGAATGTAGAAAAGCTCCTTTCATAGCTCATGTTTCACATTAAAAACCTTCCAAGTAAAAGGAGGTATGTGCCCTTTGAGGACTTTTAATGTGAAGGATCTGTGCAGGGAGTTTTGCAGCTTAACAGGGATATAATTAAGAAAAAGGAAAAACACTTATGGACATTAGACAGGGAACAAATTCTCCTTTATACTGAATTCATCAAGTGTGAGGTTGTAGTAAAAGGCACCCTTCTCAAAATATTTACCCGAGTCTCTATTAGTCTATGCAGGCGATTAACAAGTAGCCCTAAGGATCACCGCAAAGCTAACCGTCCGGATCCTGTGACACTGTGGATCCCGGCAGGAAATCGGCAGTTGGTTGGCAGCCCGGATCAGGTGAGAGTGGCCCAAACTAAAATCAACAGCTATTTAAAGTCGTCACTGATGAACACAGTGAAACCATTCCAGTATCTGTGTGTGTGCGTGTGTGCATGTGTGTGAGAACGCAGCCGTTTTGTAAAGCTGTTGCTATATCTCATGGCTGGTGGTTGGACTCCTGTTGAGGATCTTCATGTACTGGGTAAGGATGGCGTCGAAGGCCTCGTCTCTGTGGATCATCGCTCCGAACACCATGGGCTGAGAGCGGAGGGGAACCGAGGGTCATTGACTCAAGAACAATCATCAATCAATCAATTAATCAATCAATCTGTATTGATGAAGTCAGACAACACGTGCTGAACATACAGAGCTGAAAGAAAGCAGTGTGAAGGTGTCCCCTTTTTGTTTATTATGTTCTAACTCTCACCTTTTGTGTGGATGGCGTCGCGATGGAGATGCCCATCCCGGATCCAGGCAGCACGGACAAAACTTTGTACTGAGTGACAGGAGACAAACAGCATCAAGCAAACATATGGTCACCAATTGACGTCGTCAAATTAATTAAGAGAGAAAGATCTTCTGATTCTTTCTAGTTGTTAAAAGTAACAACAGATGATTTACTTTGGAGACAGAAGCCCTTAACTCTAATTCTACTCTAATAACTCTGAATTCCCTTAATTTCGTTGTGCATCAGCAATAACAAACAGTTTGTTTACTAACAATGACAGCGGTGTTCTTCACACTGCAGGTCTGGAATGTGCTTTACTTTCTCCTGACTGGTTGGTGAAATAGCTTGAACGAATAATAATACTATATTTAATAATCCTGCAGCCTCTGGGGAAGATTTTTCTCAAATGTTTTCCCCCTCATCTCCTTTATTAGTAGATTCCCAAATGTCTTTTTTAGATGCTCATAAAAGAAGCCTGAGGGCTAAAATAACAAAAACAAACAAAATAAATCCCAGAGGAAAAACATGGTTACACAATAAATAAACTGGGAATGATGTAGCGATAAACATAGATAAGTTCCACACAAAGGTGAGCACCTTCTGGATGTCGATGACGTCCAGCAGTTTTATGACTTTGTTCCTCTTGGAGGATCCGGATCTGGAGCTGGAGCTCTCGAAGCACAGATAACTGAGGAGACAAATCAGAGCTGCAGGGTTCAGCATGAATGAGTTCTTTATATGATGAGAGTGGAGGAGCTTTGACATCTTCGGACGAACTTTGGGCCACGGATCCCCGATTCAACTACTAGTACTTCTATCTATGGAGCCTCTATTTATGGGGCCTCCCAGACCGTAGATTTGATCGGCGACCGTGGCGCGTGGAGTAGAGCAGGTGTGCTGGTTCAAACCCCAGCTGCTCCATGTCCCATGTCAAAGTGTCCCTGAGCAATAAACCCAACCCCTAACTGTTACCCGGGCAAATGTAAAAATCCATAGGTTAAAAATGCAATGTAAGTCGCTTTGGATAAAAGCATCAGCTAAATGTAACATACTCTTCGCCCTCGTCTCCCACTAAGCTCCTCGCTTTGGAGGAGGTACATTGATAAAATCTCACAGCGAGCACATATCTTTCGCTCATTTTGACATATTCTAAACTCGCACGGACACGTCTCTGCCTCGCTTTGTCTAAACACGACCTGCCGGTGGACTCCCAACCCGAAACATGTATTTGGATGAACACGTGTGCTGAGGTGCGAGCCTCACTTCTCGGTGACGTAGAGGTACCCGTTGCGGATGTAGTCCGTCGGCGTCTTCCGGTCTCTGTTGATGAGGCAGCAGCGCCAGCCGCTCTCGCACACTGAGACGACACAGAAACAAGCATCAAGACAACAGGAAGCTTCTGGACATTCGGGGGGGGCTGGGTTCTTTGACTCATTACATGGGTTTTAGTCACGTTTTAAAAAGGAAGGCACATGAGTGAATAAGTAATTCGGTAGAATTGACACCTGTCAGAGGACGCTCGCTCTCCGGCAGGCTGAAGACTTCGTGGAAAGCTCCTCTCTTGGTGCTGGAGTATCGTCCTCCGTCCTCGTCCCGGCTGACGCCCACAGGAGCTGCGGCGCCGAGGCTGCCTCGGCCGGCCGTTACAGTCACCTGGACAGGTGGACAGAGGGGGGGGGGGGGGGTTACTGGATTAGGAACCCAGCAGCACTACGGTAGAATCCAGAGTACAAAAGGGTCAGAGAGCGAAGCGGCAGTCGAGAGTCGAGGACTCACCTGTCCAGATGTCAACACAGATGTTTGGGATTAGAGATTCCACTTTGTGTCTTTTGGTAACACATACTGATTCTGAGAGTCTTACAAGTAGTGGAACTAAACTGAACAAACATGGCGCTAGAGGAAAGAACCAACAATCATTCAGAAATACTGCGATTTAACCTATAGAAAAAAGGTACAGAAATCCTGGTTTAAACCTTGTTAGAAAGTCAGAAAAGTCTTATGGTTAAATGTTTGTTGCATTTGCTTCAAACAATTGTAAAGTGAAACCTGAAGCAGAAATGCACAAATTGAAAATTGAGCTAAGAACAAAAACCTTGAGAAGAAGTTCGTAAAAAACAGCATAAAAGCGTATTAATTCAAGTAGGATCTGATCCAACATTCGTCCCACAGGAGGCGCTACAGGAAAGGTTGGACTATTACTGTGATAACAACAGCTGATTGGATACAATCAGGGATGCAAGTATACATTCTACATATCTAATTAACACACACACAAAACACCCCCACCCTACCTGTTCACACTCAGACAGCTGAGAGAAAGAGAAAAAACAACAGAACTGAAACGCAAACCATAGATCACCCAGTGGGACTGGTTTATTACCAGGTGTCACCTGAGCCCTCGGGGGGTTCTGGGGGGGGGGGGGGGGTTCAGAGAGTTGGGACTGACCCGTCTGCTTAACGTGGTGCCGCCGCGCTCCTTCAGCTGCAGGTCGGTGGGCAGGTGGGTCCAGATGATGTAAGGCGTGTCGAAGCGCTGCCTCAGCTTGGGGCAACTCTTAAAGATGAAGTCGATGATGAAGAACTTTATACCTGCGTACACACCTGAGGAGGAGGAGGACGCTAGTCACAAATTGAATGACATATTTGTGTTATCGTGGTACAAAACCTATTCGTACCTATGATGAATCCCAGCAGTTTGAACGGCAGCAGGCAGGAGGAGATGAAGGCCAGCCACAGACCAACGTACAGCTTCTGAGTCAACTCTGGCTGCACCCACATGAACAGACTGCGCACACGCGCAGACACACACACACACACACACACACACACACACACACACACACACACACACACACACACACACACACACACACACACACACACGTTATCAAAGTCCTCTGGATGGACCATGAACTCACCTGAAACAAAGTGTGCGCAGAAAAACTCACTTCTTTATTTTCTCCAGGATGTTTGCCATCTTCCCAAACAGATTCTGCATGATGCAAACAAACAAACAACATTGTTTAATCGGCCTGTAGGTCCGACACGGCGACTCACAGCCTCTGGGCTTCTCAGTCACGTCTCACCTGAGCTTTCTGAGCAACGTCCAGAACCAGCGTGAACTTCTCAGACACTGTGAGGTCTTCCTTGGGAGGCTCCTGTGAAGCGGGGCAGACCTGTCAATCACCTGTCAGGTATCTTTTTTTTGATCGTATGATTATTATAAATCTTGCTATATTCTAAAGACCACTGAACATATATTCTTTTTATATATATTAAGTTTTTATTTCTGCTGTCTAATTAGTCCTTATGTGGGCGAGTCCAAACTGTTTGACTGACATCTTGTTTCACATATTTAAGTCGGAGCAAACAAACACCTGGGCAGCTGTGCAGAACCACTAACTTACAAATGAACTTGTAAATAAACGTGTACATTTAAATCAGTGAAGTAAAAAGTACAGTATTTGCCTCTGATATGTGGTAAAGTTAAGTTACACGATATAGAAATACTTAAATGTACTATATAAAAGGTACCAACATATTGTACTGTAAGTAGTAAAACTTAGTTGTAAGATAAAATTAGAAAGATTTAAAACAAGAGTAAAGAAGTTTTCTCACCACTGGCTCTGACACTTCAGGTACGATGCTCCACTGGATCCTCCAGCCTCTGAGAGCAATGCATCATGGGAACACACAGGTAAAATACATGACAGTATTGCTCACTCACGACATATCTATATATTCAAGTGTAAACTTTCACCGGAGCTTCACCGGAAGAAGGATGTTGATGTGTGGAGAGCGCGCATCACAGTGTGTGTGCGCGAGTGTGCGTGTGCGTGTGTGCCCGCCTAAGGGGGCGGGGCTTGGACTGACCTGGCAATGAGACAATTCAAGGAGAGGCGCAGGATGGCGAGAAACAGGAACATCGGGACGGCCCAGCCGTGCCACGCCGCATACATGTAGACCTGTGCAGAACACACAAAACAAAATTACATTCTTTGTCCGATGAAGCAGACAACCCTGCGGTTTTCTTCCCAAACAATACAAACATTATGCCGTTGTATGATCATCATACAATTAACATTCTAGTTTCTTTGTCACGTGTGTGCGTGCGTGTTGGACTCACAATGAAGGCGATGGCCGACGTGTAGACGGAGTTCCAGCTGGATAAGGCAGTAAGGTTCCTCTTGAAATTGGTCAGAGGTTTGAATCCTCGCTCTGGAAACAACGGACCAATCACACAGATCGAGAATTCATCTCGACAGAATCGCATCCTCCCCCCTACCACCCAAACGCCTTTCCTTTAAGGTACAATTGGTGAAGAAAAACTCACTGAGGCGTCTCATGTTTTCAGTCAACCTGCGGAGCAGAAACGCACAGACTTTAGCTTGAACACAATACAAACGGCTGTGTTAAAAGCTGCGGAGGGGGGGGGGGGGCCTTCGTCACCTCTTGGCGCTTAGCGGCTCCTCCGTGTCCACCGTCTGCTCTTCCGGCTGGAAGCGGAAGTCCTCGATGTAAACGCCGCAGCGCTCATAGAGCCACTTCAGGAAGCTGTCGCTCAATGTGTCCTTCTGCTTGTCTGAGGATGGGAGAGGAGCTGTTAGCACGTTAGCGCTCTTGTCCAAGTTTATACACGGAGGTCTGGAACCACCCAAAACACAGAAATAAAACACAAACTATATTGAAATAAATTCCACTGTGGATGTTACTCTGATGGAGGAAGTATTTAGATCCTTTACGTTAGAAAATGTACTAATACTGTGTTACTATTGAAGGTCCGGCATCTAGAATGTTAATTTAGTTACATTAATTAATTACCTATTAAAAAGCTTAGGAAAGATCACCTGTGCTGGTGGAGGACGGTGCAGGAGGGGGCGGGGCTTTACGCGTCTCAGAAGGCGAGTCTTCAAGTCTGAGAAGCGACAGAGGACCACGTCAGAACAACGTCCCCAAACAAGCTCAACTAATAAAGTTTGTTTGAACGAAACAAAGACCTGGGCTTCACCACGTCGCCGATCTTCTGCTCCAACTCGGCGCACTTGCTGCGCTCCCTCTCCAGCTCCTGCCGCAGGGCGTCCACGTTGGACTCCTCTCTGAGCTTCCGCAGCTCCTCCTCTGAAACACAGGCGGAGGCCAGTGAGCAGCTCCGCCCACGGCTCTCTCTCCTCGTCTGCTGGGTGATGTCTGCGCCCCGATCCCGGTGGCCCCCTTAACCCCTGAGCCCTGAACCCTAAGGCTTGAACCCTCAGGGTCTTTCTGTCTGTCTTTCAGTCTGTGAGGGCTTGCAAAGGTGTAACAAGAAATAACGCTCCATCTAGTTGAGTAAAAGCACAATTATCATCAAAATCATCAAATTGTTAAATAAATAAATGCCAGGAATGTAAACGTTGGAAAGTGTCACAAAAATAAGAGAGTGTGTGTGTGTGTGTGTGTGTGTGTGTGTTAAATAAAGGTGAGGGACAGATATTGACGGATTACGCAGCATGCTGGTGTGCTGTTTGACAGATAAAGACACTTCATTTTACTACAGAAGCCATTTGGGCTCTGATTGGTCGGACGGATTCTAAGGGGTTGTATTCAAAATACAATCTCAGAATTGAATGCACTGAAGATGAGGAAAAGGTAGAGAAACCGTTTCATCGGCGTCTGTCCGCAGCGACTCGACAATGGAACAATTCTAAGGATGGTTTCCCCAATCAGATGAACACAAACACGCGGTGAGTCTCCAGCATCAAATACTCACGCAGGAAGTGTTTCTCCAACAGAGCGATTTCTAGGTGACCTTTGACCTCATTGAGATCCGTCCTCGAGTCGTCTTGGAGACCCCCAGAAAACGTCGCCGGACCGGCCTGAGCAGAGAGCGCACACAGAGAAACGTTAAACAGCAATAATAATAAACTAGTATCCCATTAATCATCTCACGACCCTTCTGGCCGACCGTTTGGAAGGGCTCGAACCACAGGTTGGGAACCACTAAACTAGCTTAGTGAATATAAAGCAGCTAAAACGAGCTCCACTGGGCAGATTCAACAGTGACCTGCTGCTCCAACGTCAGGAGGACGCATTTATCTGCCGTTCCCACCAGAACACATGACAGAATCCAGCTGCACATAAACAACAAATCTGCCTTGTCAGCGTTGTTGCTTGTGTGTTTTCCTCGCACGTACCGGCGCTTCACCCTGCTGCTCTGACTCCGCCTCCCTCAGCTCCTCCGCCTCCCTGGCGGCGAGTCGCGGTTTGATCACGACCTCCTCGGTGCATTCCGTGTCGGACGTATTGGGCGAATCGGCCAGATCCAGGAACTCGTCCCGCCTCTGGCCCCGGAACCGGATCCGGTCCAGGTGCTTCCGCATGGTGGCGGGGTGCAGGGTGAGGGGGGGTGGGGCGTGGAGCCGGTCTCTATCTGAACATGACCCTCAGCCGCCCTGCAGAGGCGACACAGAGGAAGGAGGAACAATGAGAAAAGGTCCAATCTTCTAGCTTGTTAAAGGTGGAGATCCCCAGACTGGTTATTCACATTAAGAAAAAAATATTTTGTCTGAGATTAAATGTGACAATGTGCGAATGAGGCATTATCTAATTCTAACTTTTGGTGAAACAGCAGTAAAATAAATGTGTATTTTTTTCTAAATTAAGTCTTCCACTGGTTGCCTGGCAACTGCTCCACCATTCCAGCATGGCCGCCGTAAATTGACAATTTCATTTCAGTCTAAAAATGTATTAAACAAACAATTTAATGTTTTATGAGCAGCTTTAGGGGTGTGTTTTATTGCCTCTGTCATTATCATCTCATTCGATTATATATTATATTACCTTCAGCCGTCATTATGCTAAGCTAAGCTAACCGGCTGCTAGCCTTATGGAAGACATCGTGCATGTGCTCGTTACCGTGCAATAATCTATACGCACGTCAGAGTTTAAATCACGCCACCTTCTACCAACTGTGTGGACATCAGGACCGACCGGTCCGACGGCTTCTGCTCCGCCCGCGAGACACTTATTGTTGGGCGGTCTGCTGTCATAGCAACAGGGTTGAACAACATCATTTTAAAGTTATTTTAAAGCCACTGACAGAGAGAAGAGGCAAATAGATCCTGTAATTAAGTCAAAATGAAAATTTTTTGAATGGGCAAAATGTGTGAAAATAAAAATCAATTGTCTTACAATTCTCTTGTGTTATACTTATGTATGTATGTACGCATGTACAATGCATTTATATACATAATATTAACTCGATGATATCCGGTTAGTTTAATCTACATGAATGGATCATATTCTATGAGATCATAATGTCTTTGGTGGTGTCTCTTCAAAGAGTTTATTTATCTGACGAAGGAAGATTGTGTTTTCTCCAAACAAAAGAATACTTCGTCCTTCAGATCCTCACAGACAACCAACAAATCTCGACATACGTGGCTTTACTTGGACTGAAAAACTGTAAAGTGAATAAAGACTCAAATAAAGTAGCGCTACCGTGAGGTCTCCTTCGGACCCACCGTGGAGGACCGAGGTGTCGAGGGAACAAGGCGAGGAGGCAAGGTAAGAGAGGAAGGGTGTATCACCGTGAACTGAAGCCAAGGCAAACTTTCCCTCCTTCTGTTCTTTCCAACGGTGCGGACCGATTCCCAAACCCGCTCCAAACCGGAGCCCGCTCCTCTCAGCCCCGCTGCAGACCACCTGCCGTCTCTATCCGGGGTCCTCAGTCCAGCTGCGCAGGTCTTTAGGGGGTAAAAAATCAGCTAAATTAAAGGACGAAGCGATCCGTCTGTGCCTACCTGTCAAAATAATCTCTGCTGTGGGCGGGGTCGCCGGCGGCAAACAAACACGGAAGTGACGCCATCACGTTGCGCTCTCAAAGAGAACGTCCGAGGGGGACTCAGGCGGAACCTTTGTGGCCGGAACCTTGAGTAGGGGCGCTTCTCTGTTTCCGGTGGCACTGTTAAGAACTTATTTTAACAGCCCGTCCAGCGGGAGTGACTGCGTTAAGACGTGTTGATGGATTCAGATATCAAGACTCTTCATATACTGCATTGTTTCAGCTAAGAGATGGAAATGGTCTCCACGGTCCAGAACACCGACGTGAAACAGGTAACACTCACCTGAGCAGGGTGTTCTTTCTACGGACTGTCTCCTCGTCAAAGACGGTTCACACAACTCGCGGAACTACTAATCCTGCTCTGGCTAATATCAAATAGAACACGCTGTTTTTTGTGCCATTTGTCAGGTTCTCCCTCCATACTACATTTAAATAACCACCTATTTTATTGTTTATTGACTTCCTCATTTTCTTTTAAAACATCGCGTAAATCGTATACCTCGACGCCTCGGGGTTTACTGGCAATTTCAGCTGATACGTGAGTTAAAATTTGTACTGTTTTAGCTTTAAAACATCCCTCCGAGTGGTAGAAACCCAATTCTAAAGTTTAAAACATAGGCCCAATCCCATTGTCTCCTCTGACCCCTCAGGGACATATCTGACATCACCTGCTCAGTGGTTGAAGGCTTTAAATGGTGAATATGAACGGAATGGCACTTTTCTCCCACATGTCACGTCACCATGACAACGTCCAAAAATAGTATTTACAATTGAGAGTCTATTGAATACTTTTTACTCTGACGTGAAACTCTTTCAGGCTCTTTTACTGCTTGTCGACAAAATGTAATATTTGGGTGGGATTGGGCTGTAGTCCCGTGAAGCGGGTTACCGGTACGAATTGGAAAAAAACTGTTCATAAAAGTAGAAGTAATTATGTAGGTTAATGCAGGTTTTGTGTCCCCACTGCAGAAAGATGCTGATCGTGCACTTGTTGTCGCGGTAACGACTCGCGCGGTGTTTGATGCCGCAGCTGGTGATGTGTACGGAATGGGCGTGGCTTTCCCGTTGCTGCAGGTCAGAATCGAAAAAAACATTTTAAACTCTTCACTGCGGTTGTTACGTGTAGACAATGAGAATAATATAGAATTACACCAGATGGGAGCTCTAAAGGAACCTTTTTCATTTGGTTGCTAAATCAGTCGCTGCAGAAAGTGAACGAACGTCTGCTGGAGAAGAATCCCGCTGAGTCGCTGCTGTTTGATGTCGTCCTGATCGCCACCGACAGCCAGCAGCAGAGCTCCCGCATCATCAGCAGCACCAGTCATTACGGTAATTCAACCTTCATTCATTATAGGCAGCATCAGTCATTACGGTAGTTTAACCTTCATCATTATAGGCAGCACCAGTCATTACTGTAATTAAACAACCTCAGCAGCAGCACCAGATATGAAGATAATCTGATTTGCACCATCATTTCTAGAGATTACCGTAATCTAACTTTAACCGTCGTCGTGATCACCAGATTATGCCATTCTAACTTTTAACCATCAGCGACGGGTCGCACCCAGCAGCTGATCAGGGTTTTGTTGAGGACTTTCTTTCTTGATGTCGTTGTCGCTCTGTTTTCAGGTCTTGAAGTCGGCCGGTTCTGCTTTTCCAGCCGGGAGGATTTGGTCGAGACTTTAGTGGTAAATAACGTGCAGCTTTTCCTCTCGACGGACAGAGACGAGGCGCTGCAGGTGTCACAGAAAGGTCGGTAGTTTTCTTTTCCTCTTTTAGTTGAACTTGCTAACCACAGTTACAACCTTTTTAGCAATAAATCTCAAAGCCAGCTTTTGTCAATGTAATTAGTACATTGTATAGTTCTACATGGTTTTGTTGTTAAAACGCGGCCCTCGTTAACTTCAATTCACGGAGTGAGTGATTCCTGTAGAAATGTATTCCTTTAGTGCTGAAAGCCTTTTCATCCGTACAGTGGTCGTGATGTATGAATGTTGTTGGTCCAGGTGTTCTCTCGGCGCTGCTCGGCCGGCAGGAAGCTCCGTCAGAGTCGCTCCGAGTGATGTTGTGCGGGGACGCCATCGTCCGTCCTGACTGCGACCCGGTGCCGGCAAGCCGAGGGGCCGCTCAGGTACTCACGGCGGCATTATGTCACAATGTCATCTTGGCTCACACAGCTGTGGGGTGGTTTTAAGCGTAGTTGGCGTTCCGGCTCCGCAGAGTTTCTCAGCACGGCTCGGCGAGATGCGGGGGCGGTTCGGCGTGTCGGGCAGCCCCCTCAGCATCGTCCTGGTGACGTCCAGCGGCGGCAGCAAGAGCTGCGGCGTGGCCCTGCAGACGCTGAGGTCCCGCGGCCTGAGCGTGGACGAGGCGTACTGTCTGGCCGGGGCCCCGCGGGGCCCCATCCTGTCGCTGCTGCGACCTCACTTCCTGCTGGGCGACGGCGTCATTGACCTGGAAGACTGATGACATCATGAGAGGTCGTGCGGGGGGGGGTGCGGTCACATGGCCTCACAAAAGCTCCACTGTGTCTTTGAAACAAGTCGCCAAACTGTCAGAATGAACCGAAGTTCAGGAATGGTTTCAGCTCGTTGAGCCAATCCGGTGACAACTGATGTACAGCTAAGCCCCGCCCACCACCAAAATTTCAACCACAAGCTTGGACACTGGCACAGAGTAGTGGTTTGTATATCTTGTGTGATGACTCTTTGTTTTGTTTTTTCATTTCAGCTCCCTTAATCAGATGTTATCAGTAAACCTGGGTGATTTAAAAAAAAAACGGCTTTGCACTGTAATTAACTCCATTATTTCTTTAAATCTGTTATTGATGAGAAATGTAATGCTACTAAACTCGTTGTGTTGGACTTTTGAGTCTTAATGCTCCAGTTTGTAAATGTGGAAACGTTCTGTTACTTTGCCTGTTGGATGTTAGCGCTGCCAAAGTCCTGAAATGGGATATTTGTATTAAAATGTACAAATCTCAAAAAGTTGTGGTGTTTACAAAGGTTAAGCAGATAGAAGCACGGAACACCTGTCAGTATAAACAGAGTTTAAGACAAACAACTGGATTTTTGGCCTTTTAAGAAGGTTCAAAGGTCCTTGAAAAGGCAGCAGAGGTCCTTGAGAAGTTTATAGGGATTCTTAAAGAAACAACAGGATTATTCTGGGAATCAAAATCTGCTTTATTAAGTCCCATGTATGCTTAAAACACCTTCATTTCCAGAGCTCGTAGCACCAAACTAATTCACTCACTAAAACACAAGTAAAACCTTCTGAAACATCGTTTCTAGACCCTTAATATCTCCATTCATACAAGATGAGACGCTTCAAAATGCTTTTATCTATAATACGGATAAATATTGATGAATCGTCATTATAATGTGATTTATCTCCTGCTAACAGACAGATTTGACTGATATCATCAGCAGCTCAACGCATGGATTCATTCAGCAAATAATGTGCAAATAATCCATTAAATATTAAAGGGTTTACTTGAATTATTGGCATGATCTACGCAGTTTTTAATTGGCAGGAACAACACATTTTAAAGTAACATTATAAACTCAAACTCATTCATTGTTAATTGTTCATCTTTTTCTAAAGGTGTAAATAAGACAACCCTTAGATGACTTTCGTTTTCAATAAAGGTGAATATTCAGGGTTTGCTTCTTTCATGGCGTTTGGTCCATTTTAAGGCGATTACGTGCTTTTTAAGGGGTTCAGTTTGTGTGTTTTCCAAATTAATGAACAGATTACAAGCACACAAACCAGCACTCTTAATCTGTATACAATCATGTGTCATAATCCTAATCCCGTTCATTAAAAACAAAGTATTAAATACTTTTAACTACACTTGAGGTGAAATAAGGCGTTTAAAGGTTCACGTGCAGCACATTGATCACATTTATCAAATAGATCTAACGGTTAATTAAGTGGATATTTTTTGCAGCGGGCGCTCGTCACCCTTCTCACACACGCGGACACGCGCCCTCTGACAGTCACGCACACGCACGGAGACGTCGGGTGGAGAGACTGTCTCCTGCTGGTGCTCAAGGACTGAAGGACACCGCAAAGCGCAGCCGGTAAGCGGCTTTATTCGGCTAATTTGGCCCCGGTGGCCTCTGAGCGGGCTGCGGGCAAACCGGAGACCCGCGGACCGACGCGCTCACGGCTCCGTCGGCTCTCTTGGCCGGAGCTTTTTGTCAGAGGACACATGGACTTCTTCCCCCACTTTGCAAGGATTCGAGGATTATTAGTGCGCTTTTGATTATATAGTCAGATTCACCGAATGTTGTTTCTCAAAAGGACGGACGGAACTTTGTGAGCACTTGTTTGACATCATGAGTTAGAGGTGTCAATGCGCGTGTAGACACAAACCAAACCCGTTTTACGCGCGGCCCGTTTGCGTAAAGAGCGCACCGGAGCGCCTCTGTGACTACGCGATGGGACCCCGGCGTGGGGACCGGAGCCCGGTCCGGCATTCATGAGAGCCCGCTGGCCGCGCTACAGGGGCACGCAGCGCGCACGCAGCGCAGATGGCGGCCAACCTGAGCGCGCCGACGGCGGCTCCCGGAGCGGCCGCGGGGGAGCACAACGTGCCGGCGCTGCTGTTCGGCGTGCTGCTCATCGTGGTGATCATCTGCGGGAACCTGCTGGTGTGTCTCAGCGTGTTCACCGAGAAGGCGCTGAAGACCACCACCAACTACTTCATCGTCAGCCTCGCGGTGGCCGACCTGATGCTCGCGGTGCTCGTGCTGCCGCTCTTCGTCTACTCCGAGGTGAGGTCATCGTTCAGGTTACCTGTTTATACCTAAAGGACCCTGGAATTAACACCAAGCACCTTCTTTTGTATTGAGCATACACATAACACATACAAACACACACATCCGCGTGAAATATGACCCATCATTTCATCAAGGTGATATTTTATGATTGTAAACTGGGTTGAGCATCTTCAAAACATGATCTAATGAATTATTTGCAGAGGGACGCATGAGCCTTCCTGTAATTATTATTAATACAGCTGCTGCTGCCTTTCAGTCTCTGTGTGTCCTGCAGCTCAGTCCAGAAAGGTCAAACATTAAACTGGGCTGTATGGTTATTTTTTTACCCGTTAAAATCCATCCCAAAGGTTATTGCCTCAGTGTGGTACTGGTAAATGAATGGGCTTTTAAAATATATCAATTAATTATCAGACACAAGGTACATTTTCATTATAACCCTTTGACCAGATCTTTATTCCTTTAGCAGCCAATATTGAAAACATAAAGAACCAAAACCCGATGGAAGACATTAAAAGTGATGAGAAAACCAATAAGTAATGGGTGGAGTTTGAACGGAGAGATTGTTTATTGTTTATTAGAATGTAGAGTTTTCATTACATGTGAGTCAATAAGAAGCTGAACCTATAGTCTACATTATTGATTTGTGATTAAACATTGATAAGCAAGCAAACACAAGAGTAGAAACATATATCCTTGCATAAAGGAGCAACACCACAATGTACAAATACTCTGATACAAAAGTCGTGGATTCACAATTTTACTAGTTTTAAAAGTATGAAAATATTGTATTACTTTTGCAGTAAACATTATATCAATGAGTTATGAATTTGTTTGCTGCAGTGTGTTTATCACAGCTAATTTTAATGACTTTATGTTGGTGAGCTGGTCAATGAACCCGAATGGACCAAATCTAAACCAATAATAATGCATCATAGTTTACATGTTGACTCTTTTATTATTCTGATAGTGAAATAACTAAAGGAAGGACTTGGAATAAAAAGTATAATTTTACTCTCTCTGCTCTCTTCACTGTGATTAGACATATTAAGGACATTTCTTAATAAAAAGCATAATTTCCTCAGTTCTATCGTCGACAAGGACGTATTTCATGTGATAAAAACATTATAATTAATTAACATATATTAATGTCTTTCATTACCTGTTTATACACCAGCATCCAGCTGTTACGTTGTAGACAATCACCTTTACAAACACTTCTGGTTACAAGGAATTAATTCAATTTTCAATTGCTCCAAACGAGGGGGGGAGATGATCAAAAACCGAATGTCAAACTTCTCTCAAATAAGCATTTTATTTTTTTGGCTCAAGCAGTGTTGTTCAAAAATGAATATTCATAGTCCAATATCTAATGATTATGCATTCTGATGAAGGTGTTACAGGAACACTTAGGTTCATAAACGTTTACAGCACTCAAACCTGGAGTCAACTGAAATTTCCTTCATAGGGGTCAAAGGTCAACAGCTAGCAGGTGAATAGTCCACAGAAGAATTAAAGACACCCAGTGAGCATTGTTACAACCTTTACTCAATCACAGTCGCGAGCTCTTATGAAGTGGTCGCGTGACCCCAATATATTCTGAGCACGGCGCGTCCTCCACGCCGACCTAGAAGTCGACCTTCGCCGCTGCTTCCATCTGCCGTTGAAGATCATGTCTCACCTTGGAAAGCTCCAGCACGCTCACTAATGGACCTTGAGGGGAGGTTGTTTTTCTTTCTTAATTCCAAGGTCCTCAAAAGAGGATCCAGTCCAGAGCTCCTGTCGGCTGTAAACGGCCCCCAGCTGAACACCTTTGATTTATCCTTTAGCAATCAGGTTCAAGTAGCGATTCATCATTTCATTCTAACAGGTTTATATATCTCTATATATACATATATAGAGAATAAGAGCTTTTATAATATATGTACAGTCATTTATTATTGTATTTATAATTATTTCATTTTTGTGTGCATTATATTAGTATTTCTAATATTTTTGTTATGTATGCATTTATTTGTTTATTCATTTATATATTTGATTCTTAGTTTATTACTCATTCATTTTTTTCTTTTAATGTATAATGTAATCACTTATTTAATACATGGGTGCATATTTGAATGTATATCTATAATTTCTTGTTCATTTAAATATATTATAAATGATGTATTTTTATTCTCTGTGTTTGGACAAACACGTTCAATGGATCTTGGTTTTTAAATCAGTGAACTGTTCTAAGCTCTCCATTTCCCCCTCGGGAGAAGCTCAGCCCCCTCCTGTGACAGGATGATAAATAAAAGAAAGATATATATATATATATATATATATATATATATCTTTTACTATTTGTCATTTATAAATGAATTGACCTTTGCAGCGATCCCAAACATCCAGATAGAGGCAGGAAATCCTCTTTTCATTAACAAGATCCATGTAAACAGCGAACACTTGTTACAGTTCGTCTTTGTGTGTCAGACAAACACTGTACATTCCTCCAGAGGTCGACTCAGCTGTGGGGTCATAGGTCAGCCGACGGGCCTCTCCAATAACGGGGATATTTAGGAGGAGAATGACGGGGTCCGGTTTCTTCCTTCTTTCATTGTGTCGTTTCCTCCCCAATGTTGATCTTCTTTGTTTCGATATTCAAACTGTTTGGCTTTTCATTGTCCAACAAACAACCGAAGCTTAAAAAATAGAGAAATTGACAAATTTATTGTGAAGTTTTATTTAGCCCTTTACTTTAAACATCCCACAATATATTTATATGCTTCTCTATTTGTGTATAAATTATTCATTAATTTAATATATGTGCATTTTTTCATTCATTTATATTTGTATGTACTGTGTACTATTTTATGATAGCTATTTTAGATTTCTTATGTGTTAATACATTTTTGTCATTTGATTTGTTGGATTTGAATATGTATCTGAATTTGAAAACATTTGGATTCCATTTGGCTTTTGTTTATTTTTGCTTGTGTGTAATAGTTTGAGTGTTAAACCCTCGGCGCGTTTCTTTTAGTTCCAGGGTGGCGTGTGGACGCTCAGTACCACCGTGTGTGACGGCCTGATGACCATGGACGTGATGCTGTGCACCGCCTCCATCTTCAACCTCTGCGCCATCAGCGTTGACAGGTCAGTGCCCACGTGCACAGCGCACGCTAACGATGATGCTAATGGTTGAGCAATGCTACCAGTCTTAACGTACATGTCATGCATTCAAAATCTTACTTAAATTAATGTACCAAAATCAAAAAATATTCATGATGCAACATGGTTCATTTCAAAGAAGAAATACGTGTATATATATATACATGCTATATATACATATATATATATATATATATACATATATATATGTATATATATATATATATATATATATATATATATATATATATACACACATATAGGGACGTTTGTCTCAAAGCCACAAGTCACCACCTCCTGGTGTCGCTGGAGGTCCCCCGACGTCATCAGGGTTGATCGGCTGGAGAATTAAATGTGGGACCGATTCACTTTGTTGAGGTTCAAAGTCCACCAATGACTTCGGACCACCTTAAAACCAGGATCCCAGCAAACGCGCCACCCTGCTGCGTTTTCATCACGATCAAAGATGTATTTCTGCAGCTTCGAAGCACAAACGAAACCTTGCAGGAATATCAAAGTCAGAGGTCAAAGTTCAGGCTCAGCTCGTCTGTGTCCTGACCGGAGCCTTTAATCGGCCTTCTGGTCACCCGGCTGATTACTCAAAGCACAGCTTTTTCTGCAGAACCCCCCGCTGAGCGCTTCGGCTGCACGCCCAAAAAAGTCGTTGGGGTTAGACCGTCTGGCCCGCGGCTCGCTTTTATGTTTCCTGTAAAAAGATTCTTTTTTTTTTTTAAAAGATCCAAAAGAAAGACAAATGGGAGGAACGCTTCCGCAACGATGAACCGCCGGCGCTCGTTAGCGTGACGCGATTAGATCATCCGATTAACTCGGCCGATGCTGACGGATGAGAAACTCTGAGCTCCTCGAATATGATGTCGCGTTCGGATAAATGGGATTACATCGGAGACGGCCGGAGCTAACGAGGACTGATGGTGATGATCTGAAGCTTTTTGTGCAGAATGAAGCAACTCTTAGTGAATTTTGTTCTTGAAAGTCAAAAGTTCAGAAGTCTTTACCACATGTTTTGCTCTGAATCAAGATCCAATTAAAAGACACGATTTACAGTTAGCTTAGCTTAGCATAAAGACTGTAAACGGGCGGAAACAGTTGGACAGCTCTGTCCAACGGCAGCAACACCAACGCATTTCAATTTGACTAATTGACACACATGTGGTTTGTTTACCACATGGAAACCAGCATATAAAAATAAAAATAGAAAATAAAGATGGGGTGATTGAGTCGACTGATTAGTCTCAATTAGTGGTCGACCAATGGGAGCTACGGGTAAGTAACGATTAAGCCAATCACAACCGGGGGTGGTGCTGCTTTCTGTTGGTGTTGGTAGCGGCGGTAATGCACGCTGCAACCTCTATGGGGCAGGATGTTGGACTCTATTATTTAGTTACTTTTGCAATGATTTCCACAGTTTGTTGTTTCAGGGGAAGCCGACCTTAACATCTCCCTTATTGTTGCAGGTTCATCGCCGTCTTGATCCCCCTCAACTACAACAGGAAGCACGTGGACCTGCGGCAGACGGTGCTGCTGACGGGCACCTGGGTCGTCGCCCTGGCGGTGGCCTCGCCCATCCTGTTCGGCATCAACAACGTGCCGGGCCGCGACGCCACCGAGTGCAAGCTGGAGAACGACGACTACGTCCTGTACTCGTCCGTGTGCTCCTTCTTCATCCCGTGTCCCATCATGCTGCTGCTGTACTGCGGCATGTTCCGCGGCCTGCGGCGCTGGGAGGAGTCGCGGAAGGCCAAGCTGAAGAGCAGCATCCAGGCCTGCCGCAAGCTGCAGGAGGCCGCCGCCTCGCTGCCGCCACTGGCCTCGCTGCCACCGCCGCTGCCGCCCATCATAGAGCAGGAACCAACGGATAATGCCGACGAGCCCTCCGCCGACAAGCCCCTCCCCTCGTTAGCGCACCGGGACGGCCCCGTGCCGACCGTCAGCTTCGCCGAGATCAAGTTCAACCCGGACCCTCGCAGGAGGAAGACAGCAAAGATCAACAGCCGGGAGCGGAAGGCCATGAAGGTGCTTCCTGTCGTTGTGGGTGAGTGCACTTCCTGTTTAGCAGATGTATTACTGCCAGGCTCAGTAATCAATGAGCGCAGCTGTGTGGAAGTGACTTGAAACCGCCATTCCCTCCAGAGAGCAGCAGGGGGCGACTCCTCTGGTCCTATAGTCTATGAGAAAATGACTCGTCGGCCCAATCCCAATCTGCACCCTAAACCCTAGACCCTGGTGATTGATGAGAGATGACGGGTTCAAGCCACAAATTTACCACGCAGCTGAAGGTCCCTCAACTCCACCTCTGAAGTCTGGTCAGAGACTTCCGGTACCTGAATGCCTCATCTCCACCTCTGATTTGTGGTCAGAGACTCCAACACAAAAGGCCGCCCTATTAATAGCAGTCGGTGATGCTTCCCTGTAGCACGCTGGAGCTAATCCTGCAGCTCCCTAATCTGAAATCCACTTAGCACACAGAGCTTGACCAGAGAGCATGTTCAGTGTGCAGCTGGTTCTCACGAACCTCCTGCTCCGATAGGAGAGTGACGTGACCCAAGTGAAGGATTAAATGATAATGATTAAAAGAAAATCAAATATTTTGCATAAATCAGACATTTGTGGTTGAAGATCATCATGAAGATCTTTGATGTTATGCTCCTCTCTGGGTCCTTCATTCAGAGGAAAGTCAATCTACAAGTGTGTGTTTTCCTGTAGGTTTGGAGGTCCTAATTCTTCTTTTGTGCCTCCAGCTGTCAAGAGTCCCTCTGTGTTGTTTTTGATTGTTTGTAGTTGTTTTGGTTTGGTGTTTCTTTCTTATGAGACAAACTCTCCTTCTCCTCCTCCCGCAGGAGCCTTCCTGTTCTGCTGGACCCCCTTCTTTGTACTCCACACCATGCGAGCTCGCTGCCAGGACTGCCACGTCCCGCCGGCCCTCATGAGCGTGGTGACGTGGCTCGGCTACGTCAACAGCGCTCTCAACCCCGTCATCTACACCGTCTTCAACACGGAGTTCAGGAAGTTCTTCAAGAACTTCCTTCACCGCTGCTGCTCCAGGGCCGCCGCCTGAGGGCCGACGACTCGGCGTCGCCTTCCGTGCCATCGTCTCTGTCCGTCCTCTGTGAGGTTTTTATTTTTTCTACGTGTGACCACAGTTTGTTTGAGCGCCGGGTTCCCCGTGAAGGACTCAGAAGAACAATGTGCTGCAGGGGGCCAGCCGACGGCGGCAAATTTTATATGTTGAAAGTCGTCGTTTCTCAATAAAAGTTTTCACAAACAAAAAGAGAGGCCGGCTTTTCTGTGAACATCTGTGTGTGTTTATGGTCGGAGAGAAAGAAACGTGGGGCAGATGTTTAGATGAGGAGGACTCATCTTCATGCAGCGATATCCCCCCCCCCACACACATTCATCACGCTCCAGTACAAAATCCAGGTAATTATACTTCAATTAAGAGTATTTGCATTGGATGTTACTTTGTGCTCCTCCTCTTCATCTCAAAGATAAATGCTGGCAGCTTCCCAGCCCTTCCTGTCCTGCAGCTCATTAATAAAGGTCTCAGACGGGAGTCCCTGCAGGAGCTCGCCCTCTGCTGAACAACATCTGAAGGTCGTCAACGTTTGATGATCCAAAGTCAAATGTCATCGTGTCAGAAAGGTTCCAAAAGAATGTCCGTCTGCGGCCGCTAAACTCAATATAAAAGCACGTTGTATAAAATACAAAATGTCAAACAGAAATGTGTCTGCAGGAGGAGGGGTTTAACCCCCCTGGGAATAAAAATAAAATAACACCTGAAATCTTTAAATGCTTTTCATTAATGAATAAAATAAAATCCTGCTGAGGGACGAAAAGACTCAAAAGTAATATTAAATCAAATTTAAAAAAAGAAACGTATTAAAAATCTTAAAACATATGGTAGAAAACACTATTTATTAAATTAGATTTATGGACAGCCAAACTTTCCAACCATGTATTGAATACATATATTTTACATATAGCTTGCTTGGCACAATTTAGAGTAAAAAACTCATTTAAAACTAAAAATAACATAAATGTTCTATAATAACTATAAAGACGATTCTAAATTAAAAATAAATCTCCTTTCCCCTCCTGTAATCCGTCAACGTCAAACGCACCTGGGTGGATGCAACATCTGATTGGCTGAAACGCACCAATCAGAGGACGCCATTCGACCGCTATGGTTTCTGGCAGGTTGTTTCAGGTAAAACACTGTGTTCCAAGTGGAAGAACAAAGGAAACCTTTCAAACGTGACCATCAAATACCATCAGAGACAACAGATTACTCGTCCTAAGTATGTATAAGTATCTATGATTATTATTATTATCCATGAGTAAGACACCTGACCCCTAATTGCTCCCTGGGTAAAAATTTAAAAAGCCATAGGTTAAGAATGTAATGTAAGTGACCGTCAGCTAAATGACCTGTAATTAGGGGTGTAACGATTCATTTTAACAACGATTCGATTCGAATCACGATTCATGGTTGCCGATTCGATTCATGGACGATCTGGGTTAATATAGAACGATTCGATTCAGTGACTTGAAATCGATTCAGTAACTTTACTGGACAGTGCAGGCAAAGTTTCTGAGATCCCTGTTGTTTCTTGTGAGGAAATCAGGTTTAAATTAATTATAAACAAGCAAACAACAATTAATGGCAAATGTATTAACCTTTTATTGTGCAACCATTTTCAATGTAAACATTACACAATAATTACACAATGTTTGGATCAATTCACAGAACCCCGGATTTTCAACCACATTGTAGGGTCGCATAGGTGTCTGCACAGCTGGAGTTACCTGCTGCTGCTGCAGGGAGCAGCAGGTAATTCAAATGAGTAAAAATGGCAGTATAAAACTAATTTTTATTTTTTTTAATGGGGTTATTAATAAAATGAATCAACTAAGAAAGTGTCAACAGATTAATTAATAATCAGAAATAATGTTTGGTGTCAGCAGTACCCGTCTTTATGAAACTGAACCTGGGACTCGTCCCTCAGGACACCAATCCGAAGGACAAACCTTCACAATAAAAAAAGTTCCTGTGAAGAGATCGTAGGTCTTTAGAACAGACCCACTCCTCTTCAGACCATAAAAGGACTTTCAGTCATTCATTTCACTTTGTCTATGTCCATGGTTGTGATTGGCTCCTCCTCCTGGACGGAAATGCCCCCGGCTGATTGACAGCAGGTGTGCTGATGTTCCTTCCAGTCCTGCAGTGGGGAAAAAGCCCCCCAAAACAAGCTGTGAATGTCTGCACCAAATCATACGTTTCTAGAATATTCATGTTCGCATTTTATGTTAAAAACACAATTAACTCGGTGGGTCTCACCTTCCTCTGGCAGAAGGGGGAGCAGTAGTTGACCTTGTGACAGCCGGTGCACTCGCTCATCGCCACCCGGCCACAGTTGACGCACATCTGCAATAGGTGAACACATCAGGGACGGTGATGAGGACGCTCGGGAGATGCAACGGGTGACTACAGGCAGTTGTTGCAGACGGAACGGCCGATGGGGTGACCCGGTAATCTCTCCTATAGGCTATATAGGTCTATGAGAAAATGACTCTCCTTGATGTATTCCCTCAGTAAACATTGTAAACGTGACTTTATGGTCTCAACCTCTAGATGACATTGTGTTGGCTATTTGTAGGACGTGTGTGTGCGTTTGTGTGAGTCATACGTTGATGATGATCTCTGTGATGTCAGAGCTCCTCTTGACCTCCGATTCGTCCGGCTGCTGGAACGTGATCTGGTTCTGAAATAACTGAGACCACACACACACACACACACACACACACACACACACGCACACACACAAATCATATTTGGACGTCTTTCAAACTGGGCACTGAGATTGATTTCTGGGTCACAAGCGGCAAGATTGAAGAGACGAGGAGGCACAGAATGGCCTGATGTGTGTGTATGTTCTCACCTCCTTCCTGCCTCCCTGACCTTTGACCCCGGCAGAGTTTTTGGCCTGTTCGATCAGACCCTTCAGCTGCTGGACGTTGCTCATCAGCGTGTTGGCCATCTCCTCCAGGTGCAGCCAGGTGTTCCTCTGGCCCTCGATGAGCACCGGCCCCCCCACAGGCTCCGCCTCCAGACTGCTCACCAGCGCAGCCGACGGAGACGCCGCCACCGTCACCGCCATCTTCGCCTGAAGCGGCTGAGGGGTCACGGCCAGCGGCGGCAACGCCGTCAGCACTGAGGGAGAGAAGAAGAGGAGAAAACAAAGTGAAGAAGTGAGTAAAACTATATTACAGAATAGATGGACAGTTTTCCTCTATTGGAAAACACAGTCTCCCGTGAGGGAATCCCGGGTGCTGCAGCAGCTTGTCAGCTGCTCAAAGACGGAGACAAACAAATCCAAGAGGAGCAGGTCTGTGGTTCCCCCACGCCGGCAGTGCTGACCTACAGGCACAACGTGCTCCTGCAGAGGTGGAGGAGCTCCTCTGAGAGCAGACAATTTCCAAAATAATGAGTCTAAAAAATTGGGGTTTCAGACCAGTGTGGTTTTAATAATCTCAACACAAAGTTTGAGGTGTGGATGAAATATCAGCTGGTTCTGGATTCTGAAAACATTTGTAAAATTGTCCGTAGTGGGGGGGGTGGGAGGGGTATCGGTCCCACGAGCCGACCTCTCCTGAGGGCTCATTACAGAAACACAATAGCCAATCAGAGAGCGGCTTATGGGAAGATAGACAGGCTGTGGTGGAGGAGATTGTGGGACAGAAGATTAAAGAAGAAGAGGAATTAAACATCCTGGATGATTAATTCACAACATTATGTTAATGTTACATGGAGCAGATGTTGAGAGGTTTCAAAGGATGAATGCATACGTGGAACACAGCTGGATTCATCGGCAGTATTCTCACAGTCAAGGAAAACACCCACAATCCTTTGCACACGTGATGCATTGGACGGCTGCTAAGGAGACGTTTTGTCTTGATTATGATATTTATATAACAGTGATGAGATCTATTGTCATAGATGTTTTGTCCAAGTTATCCGGCGCTGTTTAAATAATTGTGATTGTGATTTATTGTCAATATTTTCATAATTAGGAATTCCTCGTCTTAATTACGAACTTCTTGAAAAAATGTTTTGTCTTAACTGTAATATTTCTCGTTGCGATGTGACTTAAAAGACAATAAAGACATTTTTTTTTATCATGAGTCACATCATGGCTTTCTTGTCAACATTCTTTGGTGAACGCGACGAGCCTCACAAGAACGGCGACGCACCGCTAACATACATCACAGGCACATCGATGACATCACAGGCAACAACGATGACATCACAGGCAACAACGATGACATCACAGGCAACAACGATAACATCACAGGCGGAGCCGCTACCTGCTGTGCTGGTGAACACCTCGCTCTGCGGCGAGCCCTCCGAGAGGATGGTGGCGTCCCCCGGCGGCGTGCGCTCGAAGGTCAAGGTGCCGGAGGTGGTGAACTGTCCCGACGGGGACACTGTGACTGTTGGGGGAGGACAGACGCGTCAGACAACTCCCCCGGAGACACCGTTCAAGTGTCGACGTTCTCGTATCTCTTTCATTTCGAATTCATCCGATATGATGACATCACAGTCTTAGGGTCTTTCCACTGGTCAAAGATCAAGAAATGAGAACTTGCCTCATGCCGGACGATACGTATTTGTAGCTGCTGTGAAATAATCTGATTTAACAGACCCAAACCTGCTGATTCTCAACTACAAACTATCTTTTCCCTTCACCAATCAGAGGTCGGGCCGAGGTCACCTGACGTACATGTGGTGCCCGGCGTCAGCGTGATGTTTTTGGCGGCGGGGGGTTCCTTCTTCGGGGAGGCGACCAGCGGCTCGTTGTCCTTCTTCCGTCTCTTGTAGGGGACGAAGAGACGGACTGGACCCGTCTGATGGAGACGAGACGTAAAATCAGCAAAGGAGACTTTAAATATCAACCGTTTCCCTCATTGAGTTAAAGGAGCCAAAGATGTCAGATGTTACAGATGAAGCCAAATAAAACAGTCAATAGATCGAAGAAGTCACAGAATTAAACGTACCATACTGATGTTCTCTGCTTCCAGAGTCTCTCCGTCCTTTGGACCCTAATAAGGAAGCACAAAGTGTGTCTCTTTATCATTAAGCATAAATACAATTGTTTCTTCAGCTTATCAGGCTCCAGTTTCCAAAGGAAATGTTCTGTCCCTCAATGTTTTTTGGCAGAATGAAACAAGAAAAAATAAACCTTTCATCATAAGTGACATCACAAAAAAGATCTCCACAAGGTTTTAGAAAGAAATCGTAACGTCTAATGACATCTCTAAATATACACACACACACATAAATATATATATATATATATATATGTGTATTACACACACACTAGGCCATGCTAACTCACCCCTGTCAGGTCATCACAGCAGGCTGCACAGGTGCAGGAAGCAGCATGCGGGTTCAGGATACGCTCCTACACACACACACACACACACACACACAAACATACACACACACACACACACACACACACACACACACACACACACACACACACACACACACACACACACACACACACACACACACACACACACACACACACACACACAAATACCCTCAGACTCAGCACCTGTATGAGTACTGAAGTACACGGTAGTAACTGCATGATGACTGCAGTACACAGTAGTACCTGGATGAGTACTGCAGTACACAGTAGTACACAGTAGTACCTGTGTGAGTGCGGCAGTACACAGTAGTACCTGTGTGAGTGCGGCAGTACACAGTAGTACCTGTGTGAGTGCGGCAGTACACAGTAGTACCTGTGTGAGTGCGGCAGTACACAGTAGTACCTGGATGAGTACTGCAGTACACAGTAGTACCTGGATGAGGCAGAGCAGAGGCCTCCCAGCATATCTGATGCTCCTCTTCCAGTCTTTGCTGCTCGCTCTTCCTGCCAGAGCCTCAAACTCGGTGGGGCTGAACCACTGCTGGTTGTGTCTGATGCAGCGACCTTTGCCCCCTGAACAGACCGAAATATGAATCAATATAAATGGAGAAAGTTACAGAAATAAATAAGAAGCCTTATGATAAATGATAAGGCTTACCCTTATCATTTAGTTTACAGCTTGGAGAACATATTTAAGTGGGCAGGTCAGGATTTGATGTCTATTTGGCTTATTTATTTGGTATTCATTGAAATACTCCAGTCGCCTTAAACAAATGTGTGCACTTTACATTCCAGTGGATTCAACACACATGACGACCGGAAAACATTTTAGCCTTTCACCTGATCCCAGCCGGGCCTTGTAGAGGACTCCGCTGGTGTTCCTGCAGCGGACCGGCAGCTCGCTGTTGTAGACCGAGGGGTCCCAGTTGTACTTGGAGCATGAGTCCTTGTCCTGGGGCGGAGTCAGCGGGATGGGCGGGGTCTGCGGGTCTGAGGGACGAACAGGGGGACGAAATAAACACATGCGCGGATCAGTCTGAGAGGGTGGAGGCCCTCGTTGCCATTCGAGTTCAGATACAGCGGGACCTTTTCAGGACCAAGTGCTGCCACTTTTTGTCCCGTGCGTGCCTACCTGATGCCATTGATGGAGTGGACTTGAGGCCGGTGGCCTCCACGATGCTGCCGTCGGTGTGAACCACGATCAAGGTGGCCTTCTGGGTGCTGAGACCATCCCCCAGCTGGAGGGTTGTCCTCCCACTCTGTGTACACACACACACACACACACGTTAAAGATAGGACACTACATCATATGGTTGAACCTCCCCCCAGAGAGATATTTCATTTTAAACTATCTGATAGTGGATGCAGGCTTTGTGATCAATCTGCCACAGTGAATCTTGAAATTCTACCATCTTATTATTTGAGTTCCTCTGCTCATCAGTATAATAAAGTCAGATGGTTTTCCACTTAGGAGCCGATCTGAAAGCATGGACTGTGGAAGAGCGGCACGGAGCATGAGTGTTGATGTACCAGCACGTGTTCAGGGAGGCTTCCTGAGGTGGCGACCGTCGTGGTAAATACGTTGTCCTCTCCAGCTTGAACGTCCGCCACCGTCACAGCGGTCACCTCTGATCATCAACAAGAATTCAAATATGGCATCAAAACAAAAAAGCAGTTATTTTTCTGTTGTATAACCACAATAATACATCAATAATGTTTGGATATAAGCAAAGTATTGAGATGGCAACAGTAAACTACTCTTTTACATTCGTCATTATAGGTCCTATGTTTTTCTTCTTTTGATGAGACGGTGGCCTTTCAGCGGCATCTTCAATATTTGACTGCAGAATTTAAAAGGAGGTATGAATGTTGCATTGTCATTATTTGGGCACCACTCCTCCAGACGGTCAGGTGGTGGCGGTGACGCCGTCTGGCCAGCAGGGGGAGCTCTTCGGATCATTTATTATTGTTACTAACGTTACAAAAGAAATGAAAAAAAAAAAAAAAAAAAAGTTGGGAATTTGATTCTTGATTTTCGTCATGGCCAAATTTGTAAACGCATCAGTTAATTCCGTGCAGAAATGTATTAGTGAGATGCACATACGAATCTTGGGAGTTTGGCAACAATAAATAATAAACTGTTGATGTGTGCTACAAACCATCAGGTTATTTGAGTTCCCGAATAACTGTGAGATTTAATGGGAGATGGGTGTCTGAATCACTTCAATCGATAAGAAGTGATAAGTACAACAGACGTGTGTTGTGTGTGTGTTTCTGTTTGCGTATTGTCGTTTAAACACGAAGTGCAGCCGCCATTGTGACGATCCCACTGTGCGTTTCAGCGCCACCCTGCTAGCTTGCCTGCATACGCCGCCTCGACCTCGTCTGAGTTCGGCAGGGACTCGGCTCCCATGTCGAGGTTTCCCGGTTCCGCCATCACGGCCATCGTGGTGACTTCGGCCTCCGATTCGGTATCCGAACCCACTTCCTGAACAGGCAGCGTGTCGATGGGCGGTTCATCCAGCCCGAGCGCCTTCGTGGCCGAGTCCGCCTCGTCCATTCCCCGGCGCTGAAACGACAAGAGCCGAATGCAACCGAGCAGCCGCGGGGCGAGCACCTGGTCCGAGCGTAGCCGAGCCCGGTACGAACCTCGAAACGAGCCGCACGCACGGCTATCCAGCCCCCGAAGCGGCGAAAATCAACGGGTACGTCAAAGAATCAAGAGAACGAGTCGGGAGAGACGAGACTACGGCCGCTCGGCCATTTGTCTTTTTTCATGAAGTGTCTCGAAAAAGATGAACCGGAGACTACCGGAAGAACACGAGTGGATCCGAAGCGACACACAGCGGCCAATACACACACATGCGGATATTGTCAGAACTAAATGTGAATATAAAGACAATGGGTTACTCGTTCAATTGAACAACGGACACAAACGTGTTTTTAGTTCTCCATAAACTCATTACTTCACTACTGTTTTCACAGATAAAGAGATAAAAAAAGAAATATAAGTGGGAGCCTTGCTATCAAGGCAGAGGTGGAAAAAGTATTTGATACTTATACCACGCTGTAGGTGTTACAAGGAGAGTACAGGTAGTTGAGTGGATGTACAACTAACATCAATTTACCATTACAGCAGGAATAAAAGTTATTTCGCAACTCACACTGTGAACACAGACTTGTTTATTTTCTGATATTTAAGGATTCAAAGATATCTTATTAAATTTAGACAATGTATACAATTAAAAGGGTAATCACAGTATTTATATACAATTAAAAGGGTGATCACAGTATTTTAACAAAGGTATTATAGTTTAAGATACTGCATTTGCACGCAAGAAATGTATCCCTGACTTGACACAATAGTCAGTCTTCTGCGACAGGAGATAGTATTTGGACATTATATTCTTAATTTAATCAAATGTTTATGAATTCTAGGATCATCTGAGTCACGTGATATAGATATTGAAAACAAAAAAATGTAATAACCCCGTCATCCATTATTGTCCAACCACATAATGAATAGAACCTGAACAACATGTAAAAACAAGCAATGATCCCAAACAAATGAAACAATTAAAGCCATTGTTATCCACTGAGTAGCAATTGGAATGTGAACACATGAAAAAAGGAAATTTTTAATATTTTTATAATATACAGATATAGATACAGAACAGGTACCAATTACACCAAGGAATCAGGCTTTGCTTTGCGCCACGCACATATGATATAGATTAGATTGATTCAAGTATATACATTTTTTTCATTTGATATGTCCAAATAACAATTCCATTTGACTTCTTGCAGATGCTAGCTTTTGAGTCTATAATCTTCCTCTCTGAATAAGTTTTGTCACCTTCAAAATAGTTTTAAATGGTCGCGTAGTCTGGGACCGGGACGCTCAGCTGGTAGATCTTCTCCCTCCTGAGATGCGCTCAGGCTCCTTCCCTTCCACTGTATAAGGACATCCGGGCTGCAGCAGCCAGGGACAGAAGTAGTGCAGGCATGACTTTTAATTAAGACGCGAGTATCTTTGGTAGCAGCATGATCCCTCCACCCCCTAGATAAATTCAACCAAAATATGATTTTCTCTCTACTTCCTGTTAGTTGTCACTCGGTGCAGAATTAAACGTCTTCTTCCGTGCAGTAGAAGCACAGCGATGACATCAGTCTTACGCTCTCAGCCCCACATCAGCACCAGTTCCTTGCGGATTCCTTTATTGCCCCCCCTCCCGCCATCAGCTTTGAATCCTGGAGACCATGTAGTAGAGCAGGAAGAAGACCAGGACCAGGCCCACGGAGACGTAGCAGAGGATGCGGCGGTTGTCTCTGCCGGATCGCACCATGGTGGAGAAGCGCTTCACGCTGCCGCTCAGCAGACCCGTCGCACTGAGGAAGTTGGAGTCCTGAATGGGGAGAGGAGAAGTCCGCTTATATTTGAGAAAAGCGGTTGTTATTCACCCACAATCTGGGGGCGGGTGAAGGGGGGCATTGTGTAAATTCTAATTTTATATAATAAATATTTGTATGCACTCTTGGTCAGTGCTCACCATGCCATCCAGATACTCGTTCTGATCGTCAGCCTCTCTGTCGATGTCGTACGCCAGCTGTCGGGTTCAGAGACAGAACAGATTCAGAACAGAGTGTCAAACTTTTTCCCGTATCGTCCAGAAAGCGACGTCCTGATTGGGAATGAATCGACTCAATTTGAAGAAATGACGCCCCACGTTGTGGAGGAATGAGGTAGAGCAGGGGTCTCACATTCGACCCGCCGGAGGGTACAGACTTTGGCGTAGGGTTAGGGTTATAATGCTCGGTACTTGAGGAAACAGTGAACCAAAACCAGACAAGTGAAATGGGAAGGTGAATAAATTGTTGCCGGTGGCTCACCGATTTCAGCCTGGAGACTTTGGTGGCCAGGTTCTCAGCCAGGCGTTTATTTTCCTGATCCAGCAAGTCGTCCACCGAGTCGTGACCTGGACACGCACAAACATGGTGGATCAGAAATGTAACAGCGGTTGATGAGGAAACTATGGTTCATTGTAAAGTCCTCTGTAGGTTCTGTAACACCACGAATATGGAAGCAATAAAAAAATCCCAAGTCCCGAGCCGGTGGTGGGAACGGCACAAACCGATCTCAGTTGGGTATCTATGACATGGACCCGACTTGCAAGTAGCGCAGCGTTCTAAATAAAGTGATGTATGGTATGCTGGTGCTCTCTGTCCGCCGGCTGCGGTCGGTTATGAAAGACATCGGCAAATACAATCCCTTTGTGTTCATTTCTAAAGCCTCGCATTAAGGCATAACACCACTTTATTTAAGACGCTGCGCTACTTGCAAGTCGCTGTGTTGTGCTAGATTCTCAATAAAGTTAGAAAAAAACATTTACGGCGAACCCGCGGTCATGAAGACACTCATTTAACGTTACATGGAGTTTGCATGTGGGGGAGGAGGCGGGTCCGTGTCGCTAAATACCCAACTGAGATCGGATTGTGCCGTTCTGGAAAAGAATCCCACCACCGACCACTTTTCGCACTCGGCGTCGCCCCGGACTGAGATAATATACGCAGCTAACTTATTAGCGCGAGGCAGTTAAACACCTCTGCTAGTTAGCCTAGCTAAGCTCTATTTTGGCTCTAGGAGAAGTTAACTATCTAAACACACTGCTGACCCGATCCGACATTTGGGTGAAACATCCCACCACACTACCGTAACGGTAGCGTTGTATTGCTAAAGACAATTAAGGGTTGAATATTTAAAAGTGAGTACGTGTCAAAGAATAATACCTCTATTCCAGTCCGCCATGTTGTTGAGTGACGTCACAATCAGCTGTGTACAAATTTGATAGGACCACTCCCCCCCGCGAAGCGTCACATCTTCGGTGTTTATTTGGGAACTAGCCTACAGGTGCATCCTCGCCGCCTACTGGACTGGAGTGTGGAGCTGTAGATTTATCTTTTTTTTAATTTTTAAACTCGCTAAATTCCCACTATTATTGTTGTTGCTCCCAAATCGGACTTGCGACATGCTGTACAAGTGTGTAGTAGAATAAAAATGAATTTGTTATCGTGGCTTTCATGCGGCAAGAATCGAAGCTCTAAGAGGCTTGTGAATGTGTGGCTATTCAATCCATTGAGTGACTTATGTCCTGTAATCCACCTGTGTGTGTGTGTGTGTGTGTGTGTGTGTGTGTGTGTGTGTGTGTGTGTGTGTGTGCGCGTTTGTTTGCCAGCCACCTGATCCTGATGCACCGGCATCAGTGCTGCTCGTATAGTGGGGGGAAGGGAAGTGTCCATGAGTTTTGTGTCTGTCTCTGTAAGAAAACCAAACAACGGTAGTGAACAACATCAAATGCAGTTGCAGAGCGGGGAAGAGGATAGATATTAATTAGAGGGTCGCTTGGCTGTGTCCTAGTGGTTACTTCCCCAGTTCATCCGTTGCGCCTCTTCTTTCAAGGCTGTAAAGATTTATGGTATTATCCTTACAGCAGGTGGAGCTCAAGCAGCAGCAGGTTTAATAGATTGTGCGTTAACGTGTGCTGTGACTCTGTGTGTAGACCGGTTGTGTGCGTCTAGACCCGGTCTGTTAGACCTGCTGTGTGTATGTGAGTGTCGACCTTGGGGTCGTGCGGACTTAGGGTGTGACCTGCTAGTGTGTAGACCCGCTCTGTGACTCGGTGTAGACCTGTTGTGTTGTGCTCAGCAGGAGGAGCTGCAGCAGCAGTCTCTCTGGCGCTCACTCAACCCACTGATTGTCTAATTAGATTAAGCAAGGCTTTCCTCAGATAATCATTTAGCCAGCTCCTGTTTCTTACTCCGATGGAGTTCTGCTTGTGGCTGTGAGCTTTCTGAAGGTCAACCTGAATTTCTTAGAGAAAACGGTTGGTTTGGGGAGTAAATTTGGGTCTTCGAGCAAGTCTGCAGACCGCCGGCCGAGGACGTGGCCGGGTTATGGGTTGTTGCTGGAGCTGTGAATGTGACGCTGCTGAGAGTAATCGGACTGCCGTTAATACCTTCTGCTGCTAACAGGAGGCAATGGGGGACGTTTCTGTAAGTAAAGCTATTCTTTTCCTCAGTGCGGGAGTAATGAAGTGACAATGTTTTATCAGAGACTGTTGTCTCTGTCAAAAAACAACAACGTGTTTTTGTCAGTGGAGAAAGCTGGAACTTTTGAAACTGCTTCTAGTTTGTGTATGTATTACGTACTGTTCTGATGACTAACTGATTAAGTGATCAAAATAAAATCCTGTTGCAGCATCTCTTGTGCAGATTTACAGCCCCTCTTGTGTTTCCTGTTGTACACTGAATCTCTTCACTCTCCTCTTCACTGTTTTTGTTGCAATTGGTAATGAGGCTCAAGTTATGTACAGTGAGCAGCAAAGCTCATCCACCAATGTGACCAGTGATGATTCCACTTTATTTCCTTCACCTCTCAGTAGCTCTTTTCTTTCTCCCCTTCGACCTCAAACAGCTGCTCCTTGCTTGTTCAGATTAAGCCTCGGCTGACTGATTGACACAGATTACAATTGAAGGCACATAAGTCACAATCTGTGAGGAACACGTATAAAGGCTGTCAGTTCACACAACAGCGGGCGCAATGCTCCACACCACACAGAGAGAGATATATTCAGACTGTCCAAAGTCGATCGACTGGTCAAATGTCCTGATTGTCATTTTCTGAATTCAATCAAACCTTTAATGTTCAAATATTTTAGACACCACTTAGTCATTGTTTTCTGTCTTTAAAGTTTGTTATTGCCGTAATCACTCTTGATGTATTATTGCTGCTGCCCCTGACCAATGTACTGTGCTAGGAAGGGTTGGATATCAATATGAAATATATATTTATTTGGCACATTTAACAAAGGCATCAGTTTCTCCTTTTCAATTGAACAAAAACTCATTGAGCCAACTTAATCTCAAATTGGATTAAAAAAAATTGAAATCCTATCGCTAAACAGTCTGAATGTGATGCAAAATAGGAGTGTAATCTGCATTTCAATGTTCAACATAAAATGGCAATAAAATTACCTGGCACCTAAACAAAAAAAAAACGTAATATCTGAATTTGATATATTGCTTCTGATTATGTTACAGATATAATTACGCTGGTCATATCATACATATTAATATTAGCTGAAATGTTGTTAAATGCGGTGATAATGAGTTCTAAGGTTTTGGTTAACCAGTGTTTTTTTAGTCCGAACAGTCAACACACAGCTCGGCCCTTCTCAGTTACGCTCCCTGAGGTTTCTGCCTTTTCTTCCATTGTTATGTTTTTAATTACAATTTTGTTTACAGATGTATTCGAATGTAATCAAATCATATCATCAATCATATTTTTTGACTGAGAAAATGTGTCTAAATCTAATCTAAATATTTGGAGTCATGAAAGTGATCAGAATCAGTCATTTAAAAACCCCCATGTCTGCATTTTTCTCCTCATACTACTTATTTGTTAAGAGAGCTGTAAAATGATGCGTTCTGTCTTGTCTCCCTACAGTCACAGAGTCCCTGTATGGCCAGATCAGCACCTGACCAATGAGTCTATCTTTTTGGGGAGGCCTCTGTCAAGTGCAAGAGAAAGGAGACATGGCCAACAACTCTTTTCGTGGGTCCAGAAATGGCCCATGTGGCGAGTCCAACCACGAGGCCGAGTTTGGCTGTACACTGCAGGACCTGTGCTCCCTCATGAACCTGAGAGGAGAACATTGTTTAAACAAGATCAGGAGTAGTTACGGAGATGTTAACGGACTGTGTTCCAGACTGAGGACGTTGCCCATCGAAGGTAAATATGTTGAGAAACCGTTTGGGTTAAGTTTGTATGTGAACAGCAGTCCCTCTCAAATGACAGCGAGTGAAAAGCTTAACCACAGGCAATGTGACGCTTCATTCTAAATATGATCTGTGTTTTTTTTTAATGATGCTGCAGGCTGCTTCACCAGTGAATCACAGACCCCTCCCCGTGTAAAACCAACAGGGTACATACTAGGTTTACTCTGGCTCAGGGGACTGGCTCTTGTGTGATGGTCAAAGTCACTTGTGTCCTTCAGCCTCTGTTGGTCCTGTTCTCCTCCCTGTTCAGCTTCAGGACGATTAGGGACGATATAAGACACATGCAATGTGATCCAATGTAATGTTTCCTGCATTCAAATGAAGGTAAATTCAAATGGAAGACACCATTATTGTGTAGTGGTCTTCGGTCTGACTTAAAAAGTCTTTAAAGATATTAATAAGTCAACAGTGAACCGAGATTTAACTTCTGCAGGCGATTTTCACCAAAATACAAAATACCTGCTTTGTATGCCCTCAATTAAATCCCTCCTCTGTGATGTGTCTCCTAATGTCACACAAATAGGCAGAACTAATTTGACCAGGAAAACACAAAATATTCGATAGTTGACAAGCAGCGTGACACAATCATGATATTTTAGTAGAGCATTACTTGACATGCAACTGATTGCGAATAGCACATGTCACACATAACATATGCCACAGGTTGCTGTTGTCTTCATACATAAATCCTAGGCCTCTACTAACAACATAACTATATTTCCATCCAAAACATTCATTTAAATCTTGAGCTCAAGTAGACTTTTTTTAACCCAGCTGATTAAAAAAACACACCTAATTCCCTTTTCATTTGCTAGTACACTCCTAACATTAACTTTGAATTCCCTTTATTATTGAAGCTAACAATAATGAAAAAATGGTCACAGTCTGTTTAGATAATTGAGATCTAATGATTTAATAATTGCTATCCCTGTCATTTGCAGACCAGAATGACATGACAACATGTCCTGTTTAATATCATAATTTTCCGCTCAGACATAATACTAATTAATGTAGTGTAGTCTGCGATGAGCATTGTGGCTGGTCAGCCCTTGAAGCTGTTCATCATGATTTGACCTCTGCTGAATCCTGGAGGGTGGGAGCTGGTGTTCTCATGCAGCAGTTGACCGGAGGAGTTTTACGCTTTAACTTCATCTGCTAAACTTAGACTCCATAGCCCGATGACGGCTAAAGGTTCAGACAGCACATCGGGCTCAACATCCTGCTTTTTATATGTTTCGGCCCTTTTATTTTACGTATCAGTACATGATTATTTGGAAAATGATCCTTGATCTTGTTTTAGATTGATTTCTTTCCCTCCTTCCATTAACCCAGTGGTTTCACTTCAATCTCTTGAAGGTCACCTGCAGATACCTAATCCAGTTAAAATGATCCAAACTATGTTGTTTTGGTTCGGGCGATCGTCCCATGCCTCAACTCGTACTGAACTACGGACTGGGGACTCTGTATGTCACAACGTGTCTCGCGCTGACCTGTAGACTCGGACTGTAAACAGCGTATCTTATATTTTCCCCATGACATTTTCCTCTTCATCATTAGGTCATTCAGTCTGATCGTCTTGCATAAACTCCGTAAACACCTTCAGTGTTTGGGCTCCTGCTGGCAGAGAGGGGTAAAATGTCAGAAGCAGCTCGAAATCAATAAAAAATCCATCGCACTGTTTTACTTCTATGTGTGTCTTTAAGGGGACAGCTGGGGGGCAGATTGATTAACCGAGGTTGTAATCTCGCTGAAAGCTCAGGGTTCTGCTCACTGTTCACGTTTCGTTTTTATGGAACATCAGAGGTGCCTGATTTTAAACCCAAGTAAGTAAGTAAAATGTATTTGTACAGCGCTTTTCACAGACAAGGTCACAAAGTGCTTTACAATGTGCATAGACATTTAAACAGTCAATGTAAAATACAAATTATCAAAAGAGTAAAAGACGTAGGCTACCCAAAAGCTAGCCTGAACAAATGAGTCTTCACTTGTCCCTTAAAACAGTCCACATTCTCAGCAAACCTAATGCTGGTTGGTAGAGCATTCCAGAGTCTGGGCGCCATAGCTTCAAAGGCTCTATCC